CAGCATTCAAATAACTTTGCGGTAATTGTCCATTACTACTATTACTACATAAAAGATCCATTTGAGAAGGCATTGGTGCAGCTGTTTGTTTAGGATCTTCAGGATGAGGACCAATATCTTCTCCACGTAACCATAATTCATACCTATAATATTATTTCAATATTATTTCAATATTATTTCAATATTATTTCAATATTATTTCAATATTATTTCAATATTATTTCAATATTATTTCAATATTATTCCAAATTTATTCAATTTATTCCTATTAATACCAAACAAAACAAAACAAAAAAAAAGGAATTTTAATTAATACATATATTTCTAAGAATTTTATTTTACCTTTCTGGCTGGAAACGCTTTACAAATGTGTCCATAGATATCTTAACCATATCTTTACTGCAGGTACACTGTGTAGCTCTTTTACCATATTCTACCCATCGTGGAGTAGCAAAATTAGTGGATTCAGCACAGTTGAATCCATGATTGAAACCAGCATGATATCCATAAGGAAAAGTGATCATGATTTCTCCAGCTTCCTGTGTTATCTACAAAATAAAAAAAGGTTATTAACAATAATTCTTATTTTTTTTATATACCTCTTGTTTCATATAAGTAATTGAAACATACTTTATTACATGGGATAGAATATTGCCTCAATATTTGAGGAGAAATAAGAGACATTTTATGACGTAAGAAAGCCTGACAACTTTGATAACTTGATGGGAAGAATCCACTAGCTAGTCTCTCTAATCGCCGACCATGTTCTGGTGGTATAGCATACCATGTTTTTGGAGCTCCAAAATGTAAATAATTTATTGAATATAAATCCATGTCCTCTGTATGCCATGCAAATGTAGTTTTCCACATTCCAAAGTATAAATAAGCTGTGTTAACTCCATCAATAGATATACCATAATCTTTATTCACATAATCAAGTATTGTTCCCAAATGATTAATGTTCCATTCTTTTACATCTGGATCAGTTAATGAACCAGATACATCTGCTCCATATATGGGTGCCACATATGTTATATTTTTCCAATACTTTCTTTCTAAATCTTCATAATCAAAATGTCGTGGAGTATTATACCGCTCAGAATTAGCTAACTTGCTATATTCTTTAACAGTCATTGATTTCTTCTGTATGTTAATTTGTTGATAAAGACCTTGTTTACCAGTTACCACCTGACAAATTGGAGCAGGAATTGTAAGATCTAAGTCATCTAAACTATAGCCTCTTTTTCTGGGAATCCACTCAGGTGGTGGAATTACTTTTGCTAAGCCAGCTTTATGAGCTGCTTTACTTTCCATGTACTCCACATATTTAGTGAAATCTTTAAATTCTTCGTATGTAGGTCTAAAGACCTGAATACGTGGAGTGCCCCGAGAAATGTTGCTAACCATTTTTTCATCAATTTACACACCTGAAAAAAGATATATGAACTTAATTTCATAATTGAGGTTTGTTAATTCAACTGAAATATGTTTATTTCTAACTTAACATCACTATTAAATATTGCCTTAAAATGTGAAGACATGTCATGGTAACTTATAAACACATATTACTACAGATAAAATATATCGTGTATTATTCCAAATAATTTTATCGCGAAATTGTAAAAATCATAGATATGGATGCTCAGTGACATAAATAAAATTGAAAGAATGAATGACATATAAACACTAAATCAAAACATAGATTCACGGCACAAGCGATAATAATTTTTCGATAAAAAGTATAAAAAATCAAGTAATATAATACCTTAATTACGACCCAAACAATATGAGTTTATTCTACTCAAATTTGATGTTTTCATAAATAACAACATTCAAAAACGAGAAGATGAAAACGAAGTACGATGTTTTTGAGACGAGACGTACAGGAGGTGCATAAACAAAATGGATGGTATCTATTGTCAAGAAATTCTTCTTAAAATAAACTTCTTTATATCACTTTGTTAGGTCACGAGAAACGAACTGACACATCACAAAAAAATTGAAAAATCATCAATATTAATGATTTGTATCACATGTTTGATTCTTAAAGAGGGTTTTCACCGTAGAAAGGATGGCTGGTCACAAAATCTCGCGTTAGCAAATATATTGAGCGACACAAATCAATGTGTCTGAGGTCTTACAGTTTTTTACATCATCATCAAACGCGATGTATTACTTACATCGAAATCGGACGTTACAAATCATCTTTTCTGTATAAACACCATGTTCATCCAGATATTGTGGTGGATTTCGCGATTTGACACATCTACCGCTGTACCCCGCGCGTCTCATAAAACCAATAAAGATGGCGTTCAACGCTCTATCAATTTGAGATGTTAGACATCAGCGTGTACGTAAAAAGCGGTAAATTTGAATTTTTGCATTTTGTCACGTACGTGAGATTTTGTCAGTATTATCACAGAAATTTTACATTAAATTCATTTACAGAAAATAGTTGTATTTACCTTAAATGTTCTTAGCCATAAATGCAGATTACAGGTTTTAAAAGTTAGAAATTAATAAATTTATTAAATATTATGGTAATCTAAGGGAAATATCTTTTTAATTCTTGCTTAATAATATTGATAATCATATAGATATAAAAATAAAATTGTAATATATGTAGCAATTCACAACATATATAATGTAACAAATTTTCCATTTATTTACAATGAAAATTATGGTTATATTCTGTACATGTATATCCCATATAATAATTATTATATATTTATATTTTATATTTTAATTAGTATATCTTACTTCTGCACAATCAAATTTTTCTTCATTTTATAATATCATCATTAATAAGAATGCATAATTATTCTATTGATATTTATTTCAAGGAATTATTACGTGTATTAGATATCTAGCGCCACTCTGTGTAATTTAAGGGTAACCACTCACTACTCAAATGGTAAGAAGGTGCATTTTAAATATGGAGTTAAGTCAATAAAAAGTCAATGACTTAACATTTAATATAAACCAACATATGTATAAAAGGTAAGTGAAATAAAGAATTATATTAATTATATATAAAATGAGTCATTGAAATTTAATAATGATCAATATGTTTACGATATGTTTGGTTAAGTGAAAACTTTCGGTTCTACTTATTTTAATTCTATTTAATTTCGATCGTATTATATTCCTAAATCGTAAACTGTCTTATTATTGTCTTTTCCAAGTTTGCTATCAGCAAGTACTTTTCAAATTATCTCTAGATTCACGATAAGGGTGCAAGTGTTAAATAGTATTAAATTTGATTTTAATTGAGTGTAGTATTTATTATAATTTTGATAGACTCGTGCATGATTAAATCTTGATGATCCACTTTTACTAACACATTTATACATATAACTGCTTTATGTGATTGAGAATTATTTTGCCCGATTAAAATATAGATTATAAAAATTTAGCAATGTAAAGATAATATATATCTGGCACACGTGTTTAATAAATAAAATTTTAATTCAACTTCACAGGTTCATAAACAGACGTAACATGGATTATATTTGCAATTTAATATCAGCTGATGTAGTATAGATATATTGGTGATATGCGTAGACACAAGTTAACTTTCAACATTGTGTCGAAACAAGGACACGTATCTAAGGAGGTGGTATTGAAGGTTCACTTATAGTTCAGCATTCGAGGTAAGCAGTATCTCAATCATGTTCGCAGTGTGCGGTTGTTTCATCATGAATTATGTGCGTGTTTTTTTCATATCTTTCTATGTATGCATTGTATTTTTAATATAGTGTTTTCGTGTGATTGAACCATGTGACGCAATTGTGGAGAATATAAAGAGGTTAATGAGATCAACAGATTTAAAAAATACACATATAAAGAATGTGCGATAAAATGGAAATTTTGCAGAATTATTTTTTCTTAATGCTGAACACCTGTTATTTATCAAGAATTGTTTCTTAAACAGGTAGATATTTTATAGACTGATAGCATTCGATAAACAATTGTTCGATAGAAGTACAAATTCTTCATTTGAATCAGTGTCTACATTGGATTGTGTACAAACGAACACATACTGGTAGTTTTTAAGAATTCAAACTTTCAACACTTCAGTGAAAGTGTCTATACATGTGTTTTGTTTCTTACTTTATTAAAAACAAAAAGGCAAATATGCACATTTAGTCTAAAATTTGTAGTCTATGTGAGTAACTAATTTTATTCTGTAAATGTTATTTTTTTAAAGTTTCACAAACTAATTAATTTTTTTTTTGTTTGATAACTTAAAGATAGCATTAATCGATACTACAGTGATGATTTACTGACTCAGAATACATAGTGGTTCGAAGTACATACAAAGTATCGAAGGAAAATGTATTTATGTGAATTACTCATTTTATAGTTACATACATGTTCTTTTTGTGTAAGTTTAAATTTATTTAATTTTTAACCATATGTTAATTGTAACATTAAACAGTTATACGTATATATTTATTTATTTATATATCTTTTTATATTTATCGTACATATATTTAAAATTGTGATATTCGATTAACAAAAAAATTATTACTTTTATAAATAGAATTGATCTTGTATAACGGTATAAATAGTGTAAAATGTCGAAGTACAAATCTCATCGACAAACTTTTATCCCAAGATACGCCTTCCAAGATAGTCGAGTTATCAATAATTTATATCTCGAAGGTTAGATGTCTTCACTTTGAATACAAATTAATATAATTCGTTACATCATTAATATTAAACATTCATAAATAAAAATCTACAAATAATATAATTTAAATATTTTACGATTAACATGCAAAAAAATTTTATGGATAAATTATTCCAAAGTGTACGATCTTTACATCTTTTTTTCTCGTTACTTTATTTGAATCTATCTTGTATTTTATCCAATCAAATACTTGCAAGGTACTTGTATCGGTAAATACGGAAACTGCATGATCCGTAATTAAACGAAGCGAGACAAATTTGTCAACTTAGGCTTTGCTACATTCTAACACATGCGGTTATTAAACCTCGAGAGAGGGAGAGATACGAAGCTTTGTTTCGCTACTGAATCGTGGCAGTATAGCAACGCGTCTCTATATGTGAACAGGGAGTCCGTTAAAGCGACCTCCGTCTTTGCATTTATGGTGTCGTCCTCCTCTCGTGAACTTTGCATGCATTCCACGACATGTCACCTCCGACAATACAAGAGCCGTGTCCTAAAGTATAAAAATAGATAACGCGACTATAAGAAACTGAATTTTTGTAGAATTAAGTGATAGTGTTTATTTAATAATTTCATGTGAAAATCATCGGTATGTGGATCTTCAAAAAATTACAAATAAAAGAAAATTTTTGGTTGCGATATCTCACAAGTTTCTGCTATAAAAATTTCTTTGTTAAAACATATTGAATACAAAATAAAATGTCTTATCAAAGTTTACGTGAATATTGTACCAATACAATCTTTAGAAAGCGACTTATTTCGTACGTTGCCCCATGATCTCGGAGACACGCGGCAATAACGCACCAGAAGCTGATAACAGAGCAGTCTAGCGATACGGATATACTACAAGGTTTTCAGATTTTTAATGTTGACACGTGGAAACTATAAAACTATGGTGCATTTTGATTTTCAAATATTCAAATATAAAAGTTTATAGCTTTTTCACATAGGGAAGATTGAATTTGTTATTTTAAAGTATTAATAAAAAATTCTTTTCATTTTTTATTTTCTGTGCAAAGTACATTATAAATTCACGTTACGTATTTCAGTATTTACAATTCAAATTGCTATGAGTCCGTATAACCAATGTGTTAAAAGACTTCTTTAATCTGTTTATTTTTATGTTGCATATATTTGCTATAAGTATTAATGAACATTATATAGTGATAGTCGATACTAATAGTACTGACTGTAATTAGAACGTGATATTTTACAAGTGAAATACAAAATAAGTAACGAACACGATGCAAAGAAAAGTCATTATTGTCGATGCAGTTCCATAAATGTTCATTCACAGTGATTATGAAATGCAAAATCAATTCGTTTTTGTTCTCTTCTTTTTTCGTGCATTGTTTATCGAGTTCTCATGTGTTTTATTGTGTTTAGTGTTGATAAATCTCACCAGTCATTAAGAAAAGAAAGAGAAAGCGCCTTAGTGAAAAGTCGAATGTGAGGACTCGAGGAAACACAGACGAAAGAAATGGGCACGAAAGTACTCATCGAGATGCAACAGCAACTGAGACATGCTATGTCCAGTTCAGGAAATACTCCGACCAGTGCAAAGAAATTAGAAGATACAATGGACATCTATAATTCCATATTCCTAGTCTTTGAGGATATCACATACAATGCAAGACCCTGGATTCTTTCTAAAAGTAAGTTTTCATTGAAAAAAAAAAAATTCTTTTCGCAATTTGATCATTTTTTTGTGTATACAGTTTATTACGAATTTCGTAAGAATTTTTTGTCGGAAATGAATCATAAATATATCAAACACAACTACGAAAAGTGACATACTTTACGAATATTTATATGTTATGATGGTTAAGTACACAAGTGTATCAGGATCAACAAAATAAATATTGATCGTATTTATACGATAAGATTCTTAACGGAACTCAATATGATCGACGCAGTAGCGGAATAACGGTTTTTGAAGCTGGTTCGTTTCATGAAAAACGGAAGGAAAATTTGACTCGCTCAGTATCAGTCAACGTAACAAGATAATCACCTTTAGTTAGCGTGAATGAACTGTATTAAGTTATGTACGACCCGGTTTAGCGGTTGGTAATTATGGAAATTTCAACTCTGTTAGAGTAAAGCAATTGTATTCTATGTGTGTGGTGCATACACATTATTGTTACTAATTCTTAAAGATATATATATGTATATATATTTGTATCGTTACATCGTTTTAAAAATTTTAATTTCCATTTATTATTACTTTTTATTGCATTGACCTAACGCGCAGAGAAAATTTGTGAAACGCATAGCTATGATATAATCAACCATAGACAAAACGAAACATATTTCAAACGAAACATGTAAATAATCATGTTTCGTATAAAGTAACGATATTTTTAATATATTCTGCAATAAATATATATTCTGACAAATTAATTGTTAAAATAATATTACGATAAGAATACTTTACTCTTCAAATTTGAATGCTTAAGAATTCACTTTAGAGTGTATAAATATAGACTGCGCACAATCGGACTCGCCTCCCATTTGCGCATGTATATGTACGCATATGTGTTCGGCCATACTTTCTTATGAGTTTATTAACCCTGAAACGGTTAATAAACACAAGAGACCCAGGAGATGACAGAATAATAAACATCGTTGATAGAGTCTTTAAAAAATATAATAGAGTCAAGTCGTCTGTGACAAATTCAATAAGACCTTTATTGTCCCGGTCAATGATACAAGGGACATCTTTTATCTTCGTGTTCCTTACAACGTTTTATCTGCACAGTGTCTTGTATTGAAAATATTCAGTTTAATTTCGCTTCGCTTCCATTAAATGTGCAGTAAAAACGATCAGTTCACGAACCTCGAATATGTTTGAAAATATTTGGAGAGGGCAGTATGATGCAGATCGCATGACTGAATGAAAACAGGACGAAGTAACCTAGCTGCGCGGTAGAAATTATCACGTGACTTTATTATTGACTCAACAATTAATAACATACCTATGTAATTAGTGGTTTGTCTTTGATATTTATTGCCATGCACGTTAACATGCAGTGAATCGATGTTTGTAATTTTTATTGCAATCACTAATTCGCAGGAGGAATTCAGTGTAAACAATTTCAATTGAAATTCCTAAAATAATACACGAAAGTGATACGTCGCGTCGGTATTGCAGAGTGAAAGTGTAAACGGTACAGTGTTCGCAAGAAATGTAGTTTATACCGTTGCAGATTCCAATTAATGGAAATAAATATTTCGTTTTTGTTACCTTTTATCAATACTCAGTTTGTAACCTTTTTCGTTATCTTCATTTTATCTTTAAATATTTTTCTCTTCTTTTTCTTATACTTAAGTAGAAATCATCTTTTAAGGTTAATCACACATTTTTAAATCAAAAGCTATGGAAACCTGAGAAGTAGTTTTTACTGTCTTTGAATCAGCCGCCAAAATGTTCCGAACAAATTTTCTTGCGAAAATTTCGTGTATTTGTAATCGAGATTAAATAATTAATTCAAATTTTATCATACCTAATAATTTATTTCGTGCGTAATTGGTAGAAATATTTTAAGATGATACTGCGAGATTATTAAAATGGATTTTCATGAATCGAACATCTGTGTGCTTCTATCAAAATTGAATACCTGTGGTATAATAATCAGAGGCTTAGTGACCTGTCCAGATTCGTAAAAGCTAGTTCAGGTGAGAGAATTTTTCTTATTAATAATGAAGTTAATGCTTTTTTTTTACGCTGTTATTAAAATATCAAAGGCATTAAGAAAAAATCTCACGGAACTTCTTACTTCATTAAAAAATAATGACAATTCTGGTAATTTTATATTTTTAGATACCGGTATCTTAATAAAAATTCAACATAACAATTTTTTTTACTAAGTACGACTTAATAATTCACGTTTTACTAAAAAATATTCCTATAAATATTTGTTTCAGGAAAGGCTGAACTGTTGAAGAACGTGAGTGGCGAATTCAGAGCCGGTGAACTCACGGCGATAATGGGACTGTCCGGTGCAGGAAAGTCCACATTGATGGATGTTCTGGCGGGTTTTACGTTAGTAGACCTCTCACTTATACTTTTGCCTGTGTAAAACTTCTTTTCGTTATCTCTAACTATACAAGTCGAGTCGAAAAATCGGTAACTATTTGAACTTGGGACAAAATATAGATACCCAGTAATGCTAATACTTCTAAGAGTTCTTCGATAAGTTTAGCCCAATAGATTTTCATTGATAATAATTATCATTGATAGTTTTACACTGATACATATAATTGTTGATTTTAACGCAACATAACTATAGAATCGTCTGTTCAATGAAACATACGATTTTATTAAGGTGCTATATTTATTATTAATAATATTATCAATTTATTTTAGTAAAATATAACGTATTCCATTTTAATTTAGTCCTGAAAATATTAAAATCATCGCTAGTATAAAAAGTTCAAACGACTAGTAGTGTGGCTGAGCGACACCAGAGGGTACTACGTATCATGTTTCCCTACAGACAGTAATTTCATAATTCGACTAAAATGGTGCACCCAGTATATACATGGGTAAAATTTAAGCAGAAACACAACGATTGTGGCAGATCTTTCTTAAAATAATTTTCCTACACAAGTTCCACTTTCCAATGACATGGATGTCTTCGATATTATTAGATTGTGCGCTGTGAATATTTGTAGTGTAATGTTACGCTGGCACGATTATTATATTACACGCTATTATCACGCTGTAGCAATATTAGTAGCATGAAATAATTGCGAATTACGAAACTTTCAAATGTGCCACATATTCCGTGTGAGTCTTCAGCAGATCTTAAAATAACGAGTATCATTAACCTATGATGACTATGCCACGATCTTCGTCATTCTATAAACTGTAGGATCAGCTTTATCAACCGTTGATGACTCTAGACCAAACTTAAACTTCCTGTCGTATAGTATGTTTCCTCTATCTAATTTGCTACAGTGTAATCTCAAAAAATATTTCCTTTTGAAATTCAAATGAAAATGACAAATTTTTGTGTGATAATGTCGAATCTGTATATCATATACAGGGCACTTTAACTAAGGAGAGTAAACGAGAGAATATTGCATGCTTGATAAGTGAGGAACACGTGTTTCCTGGTCAAGTGTCTGGCATCGAGGAAACACATGAAAGCTGAACATATAAAGCGCGAATAACACTCGGTCAGGGATGTTGGACCCATTCGGATCTCAGTTTAGACGTAAACGCTTGTCTCGAATTACTATACTATTCGAAAATAGTAGCGCTTTCTTTGTTTAGATAGTAGAATCCAAATTCTCTAGACGGTGGGGTCCGAATAGACCCAGAATCCTCACCTACCTATTCGAAGGCCCTCTATCCGAGTATTAAGTAAATATTTTTTCCTTATTTGAATGTTTCAAAACGTGGCCCAGTTAATATCAAATCATTGTAAATATCCATTACATGTTCGTATACTGTGTATTTTCATGTACTAAATTGAAGACCTTGTTTCTGTACATTTTTAAATATTTTCTTTCAAAGTTCGTTTATAACGTTAATTATTTTTATTTACATTTGTACGTATTAATCAGTCGTATTAATTAGTACGATAGAGAATATTTTGAAATATTATATCGTGGACGATTGTAGCTGAAATGAAAACTTCGTCATAAATGTACTGTTTCGTTATTCGATCAAAACAGACACGATCTGCAGTTCCGTTCAGTGTGCATAGGAATATAATTGCGACGTTCACTGGTGGCAATACAGTTATCACCGATAAACTTGTCTGACCAAAGAAATCTTTTGCTTTGTGAAAAGAAGATAAACACTATTTACAACGCGTCCCATTGCATACTTTTATACACGCAATGATACAAAATTTCGCTTAGATAATTTTTTATTAGTCATGAATGATATTTGAATTTATTTAAAAAACTGGCGATTTTTTGTACATTATATATAAAATGTATATATAAAATGTTATCCTAAACAAGAACTATCTAAAAAATATTGCAAATTATATCTTAACAAAAATGTTTGAAATATGAATAAAATTCATGTAATCTGTTAGATGCAGACTGATAAAAAATGATAATGTTATCGAATATTATTTTTTTCCATATCACCTTTGGTTTAATTATGATTATCAAATATTTTTTTGCTTTTGATGTTGCTAATTTGGAAAATCGAATTGTATAATCTAATGAATCAACGTCTTGGTTGACCCTCTAGTGAGTTTGTGCAATATCTCAAGTAGGTTGATTGAAGGAATTTTAAATCGACCATTGTGTATTGCTACGGTATTTTAACTGCACTCTATAACTGAAGCAAATTAGCACGTTTGCGTAATTTGCACGTTGATCGATAGGTTTAGATCACGTGAATTGATCTGTAACGCGGTACCGTTGTAAATGAATTTTATCTAAATGAAGGAACGAAAGAATTGGAAAATGGAACAAGAAAATTTAAAAAACGTGCCAGGAAGATGTGAATTAAAATAAATGTGATTGGACCGTTTTCAGAACGGCTGGCGTAACTGGGAATATAATGGTCAATTCAAAAGCTAGGAATGTTAATGAATTTCGAAGATTGTCTGCGTATATAATGCAAAACGACAATTTGCAGCCACTGTTGACCGTGCAGGAAGCAATGAACATCGCTGCGGAGCTAAAACTTACCGCAAGTCATCAAGAAAGGAAACAAAAGGTATTTTGTTCGTTATTAACTTAACCGTTTTTATAATTCTCCTATAAGTAGCCAGACAGTTATCTATATTAACTAACTGTGCTGAAAGTAATTGAAAAATTGCTCGTTGAAGTGACTTTATGTCCTATAGCTTGTTTATGGTAGAACGGGCACTCAAGGTCATTGGGGAGCAGATCCTCTCACTCCACTGGAAAATTTAATTGTCTGCTTCTTACTGCTAAATTTGATTTATTTAGTAAGCAATTAACTGTAAACTAACATAATTTCAATTATGATTAGATGTGTTGAAACAAAAGAATCGACCTTGAAAAAGTGCCTCAATTCTGTAACACATATATCTTTTAGTTTCTATTTATCGACATCAATTTTTTTTAAACGACTATATTTTTTTTAGATTGATCAGATTCTGGTCACGATGAACCTGGATTCTTGTCGTCACACACGTACAGGTCAACTCAGCGGTGGAGAAAGGAAAAGACTGGCCATTGCCTTAGAATTAATTAACAGTCCACCGATAATGTTTCTCGATGAACCCACTAGGTATCTATCTAATATCATTAGACAACTTTGTTTTGAATTATTTAGCCGTTAAAAAAATGAAATAATGGCAGTAATATATATATATATATATCAATTGCAGTGGTCTTGATAGCGTTACCTCAAAATACTGTATAACATTGCTAAAGCAGCTAACAAAGGCTGGACAAACAGTGATTTGCTCTATTCATCAGCCTAGTGCTTCACTCTTGAATATGATCGATCACCTTTATGTTGTGGCAGACGGAAATTGTGTCTACAGTGGTAGCACGCAAAATTTAGTGCCTTATTTGAGCAGTCTCGGTTTGCAATGTCCAACGCACTATAATCCAGCTGACTATCGTAAGTAAATGCTCGTAAGTAAATGGAAATTGGTTATATTTAAACACAGTACTGATTCTTCAAAAGAACATTTTTCTTAAGACAATTGTTTGTTCTAAATAAATCTAAGAAATTAATAGTGATTAGATATAAATATATTTAAGAAAAAAAAGTTTCTTTTTTTTTTATAGTAATGGAAATTTGCAATGGAGATTACGGCAGGTATGTGCCAGAATTGGTGAACGCCATTGAGAATGGAAAAAATAATGCATGGAGGTCAACTAGCAATGTAACCAATGTCAATCATCAGGAGGAAGTGATCGCTTTGAACGTGACCGCCTCATTCCAAGCACTTCGACAGCGATCTCCGATGGAGATAGAGCATGTTCACAGTAAACATAAAGGATCTGGTGATTACGCCGCTAGTTTTTGGAAACAACTAGTTATTCTGCTTAAAAGAAATGCTATCAGACTCTCAAGAGACAAGGTAATAGAGAGTTTATTTCTAAAACAAAGTGTATCTACAATGTATACAGTTTAACAAAAATATAGAAAAACGTTGTATTGTATATTTAGTTATGTAAAGTTATATTATACTTAGAAAACTTGTAATCAATAACAAGTAATATAATCGCAGGAATATTTAACCTTGATGGCAGCATGATATTCTAAACGCTTACGCAAGTTTCGTAGGATATTTGTATAATGTAATAAAATAGAATTTATGATATTTAATAAAAATTAAAATTTTTACTTTTATAATTTTTAATGTGATTCTTAAAAGAGTAAAAAAAAAATTATATTTCTCCTATTTTTATTTCCAGGTATTAACATTTACGCGGCTTTCGATGCATTTTATAATTGCTCTGCTTGTCGGCGTATTATATTTCAAAGTTGGTCAAGATGCGGTGTATGTGTTGGACAATTTTAACCTTTTGTTTTTCAATATAATGTTTCTTATGTTTAGTGCATTCAGTGCAACGGTAACAACATGTAAGTCGATACCTCTTTAAGCAGTTCCGTCTAATAAAATTATTGTTTAAAATAGTTCAAACAAAAAAAAAACGTTTGCAAATTATAGTTCCCTCGGAGTTACCAATCATCATGCGAGAGCATTTTAATCGTTGGTATAAGTTACACTCTTTTTATCTTGCTAATAAATTGGCGGACATTCCCATTCAATTCGTAGCTATTTCTTTATACATTCTCATTGTATATTATATGAGCGATCAACTATTAGAACTTCAACGATTCTGTCTCTACACACTAATGTGTTTCGCTGTTAGTATGGTTGCTCAAACGTTTGGCCTTTTAATTGGAACAGGAATGAAAATACAGGTTCGTATGACAATATTTCTATAAAATTACCTATAATATCACAAAGTTTCATTTTATTATTTATTTCAGCACGGTATGATCTTTGGGCCACTGACAATTCTTCCGTTTTTAATATTCAGTGGATTTTTTGTTCAATTTAGAGATGCTCATCCATACTTACGATGGCTGTTCCATTTATCATTTCTTAAATATGGTTTTGAGGGTGTAATGATCGCTATTTACGGGTAAAAATATTTTTAATATAAAATTATCTATATACAACTTCATGTACGTAATATGTAATTGCAATATAATGTTCTATTGTAATTTCAGTTACGGCAGGCCAAAACTTTCTTGTTCAGATGTTTATTGCCATTTTGCCATACCAGAGACTCTGTTAAATGCTGTGGATATGAAACAAACTAATTATTGGTTCTGTTTGATTGTATTGATTGCTTTGTACATAATGCTAGACATTGGAACATATACATTGTTGAAATTGAAGTTAGATAAACGTGTATGAGAAAAGTCAGTATCGAAAGTGAAATTTCAGTGAAAAGTTTTTCTACAATCGCATTCAATGTATTCAGTGTAAATAGAACAGTATAAATGAATTACTGCTAAAGACTGATTTGTTTTTAAAATTTCTGTATAAAAAAGAAAAATGTAAAAAGTGTTTACCAAAAAAAGAAATATTTGCATTTAAATGCAGTTTTATTGTAGAACAGTAAGTGATAGACAAGTGTCAATACATGATGTTCTATAAATGATTTGTATGCAATGCGTGTCGAAATGGATATAAAAATTCTGTTATCTGGAGATAATAATATCACAGCTTGGTGATATTCTTTTGATACTCAATTTCGTTTCAAATAATAACAGATTTCTTGTGTACATTATATTTGTTTGGAACGTAATATGTATAGATAATATCTATTAAATATATTACATGCACTTTGATACATTCAAAACCCGTTTCCATTAATACGACATACACATGATACTTAAAAAGATAAGAGTATGTATTATGTAAAATTCTTGCAAGCTAAAAAAATTAACAGTTATTTTATATGTAAACAACCAATTATCATATGAAAAGTATAAACAATACTAAAACATTAAATATATACATTTATTTTCAATTTTTTAGTAAGTTCGTGCATTTTATCAATCGAATAAATTAAGACTTTCAAAATATTGCAGATAATTTCTTTGATTGATTTCTTTCTATCGATAAAAAGAATTATGTAAAAAATATAAAATTATTACAAAGAATATAATTCTGTACTATTTAAATCTTCCATAATAAATTATTTGAAATTATTAACCATAATAAATTATTCACTAAGTATCTTTTTCGTCTTACATGCTTGGCGAATCAAATAAATCTAAAAAATAATCGATCAATATTGAGAATGACGATATTTAACCTTGACATGTCTTAAGGTGCATGCTATGACGAACTTTACATTTCAAGGTCAAATTCATCTAAAAGTGATTCTCCTAGTAAAAATGTTATACGGCCCTGCAATAAAGACTTGATCGACAGTCGTCGCGACGAATTCGTGCGTATCGGATAGCTTTTTCGTTGCGTTCGTCGTTAGATTGCGCGCTTTAGAATACGATGCTACTTCACCCACAAAGCAAAGTGTAAGCAAGTAATTACGTAGAAAATTATTTCATTTTCACCGTGATTTACTTTCGAATAGTTACTATTCGTTACTATTGAATCTCAGTATAAAATACAGTTATTTGTTGTGTCAATTCGTGTATTTAATTGGTGAGATCACTTCATTGTGTATAAGATGCCAAAATATCAATTTTTAATGAGTAGAAAATCATAAAATGGAACAAATTACTGAGTATGTCCTGCTGATCGGTGTATTTTTCTCATAATAATACGTCTTAAAATATTTCAAAACTTTATCTTCTGCTGATGATTTCATGTTACCATGAATACATTTTTCATGTTGTAATACTAACAACAATTCGTATTTCTATTAAAGTTTTGAACATCTTAAACTAAATAGTCATTTATATTGTTTTTCGAGAAAAAATCACTCCACAAATAATCATCAAAAAATTAAGCCGGAACATGTTGACATGCAATTAACGCTTCTGATTATACGTTATAAATGATAACAGCGCAACGCATATGGATACTCATTCCTATAGGTTAAATTCCAGTGTTTTATCTGAACTATTAATTTAGATAGTTAGCAATCAGCACTATGAAGATTTAAGATGGGAGGGTATCTCAACAATGCAAACGTTCATTCAACAGTGAGGATGTTAGATGAAGAAGGATGCACTATTCAACTGAGAGACGATCAGAATTTTTTAAATTCAGATACCCGATCGGTTACCAAGATGCACGTTGAGTTCGACAATCTCTCGTATTGCGTCTACTTCAGTAAAGGTATTTATTTACGCTCACATATATTCACTAGCACCGTTCATGTCTACAGAGAAAGTAGAATAATTACATTACTCAAGTGGAGAAGTTTGTAGCTTGTTTATTGTTTATTATAGAGGACGAAGAAAATGCTGCTATGTCGCATTACTTTATCAACATCGACTGCCATTTATTAATTATTTATTGTTTAAGGTGGGTTTCGAATCATTAAATTGAAAAAGATATTTTGACTATTAAAGCATTCCCTTACATTGTATTGTGTGTTTTCAATTGTGGCAACAAAAAGTTAAACATACTATACGGTATTTCTGATTAAGATTATTCGTTTTTCGGTAATTATATTTGAGCTTATAATTATTTAAAATATGAATTTAAATAAAATTAAATATGCATTTAAATGTTCAGACGTTCGAAAATAATAACTTTTTAAATATTCAGAAACGTAATTGCATTTTTTTGTGTAGCATTTTGACAGGAAAAAATGGTTAATAATTACTATCTTTCTGCTTTTTTTGTATTCGCACAATGTTTTGTAACGACTTTTGTTTATATTAATCAGTTATTTGCGCAATTACGAATGTATGAGAATTTTTATCACTTCGTGATTGGTGATAATCCTGATACTATTGAATGCGTTAATACTGGACCAGCTTGTATAATCGCAAATATGATATTGATTACATTAGAATACAAAATGACGTTATTAAAGTTCAGGTCAAGGTTGAAGGTAATTTATGTTAGAATTTCAATAATAAGGCGAATTGTGTAAATGAACTTATCGTTTTAATTAAAAGACAAAAGTTATTTTCATTATTATTTTGCAAAGAAAGAATAATAAAGTAATAAAATTATTAAAATATGAATATGATAAAAAGAATGTTATAACAAGTTATGAAACGTATCTTTGTACATTAATCGCATTTCTGATAGTGTTTATTCAGGCAAGACATATGAAAATGATTATGCGCATGCATAATTGCATCAGTTGTAAATAGTGTGACTACTCGCAGAAGTTTTTTAGTATATTTAGCAATGAAAAATATTTGACTTGACCAATATGTGACCAATTAATACTACGAAACAAAAAATTTCTTTTACAATTGAAATTCAGTATACATAAATAAATATTAACATAAATACATATGTGTACATATAATGAAGTATATAACATTACAATGATTCCACACGATTATCTCTCAAAGTGTACGTTATTTTAGAAAAGGTTATATATCTCTTCACATGCATGTAAATACCTTTGATAATTGAAGATGACCTATGTTTCTGAAATGGATAGGTTTCCTTCTTTACCATCATTCATATTTAGCAACGAGTTCGTTACTTTACAATATACTTTCTAAGGTACTTTCAGGTTATTTTCAAAGAAGTTCTTCACGAACTACACAGTGAAATTAAATACACAATTCCTACTTCCTATTAAATTTAAATTAAAATTTAAAAAATAATTATTATTTAGAAACAAAATCAACTAATACGTCGTTGCTCAAAATCACCTTTCGAGATATAAAGAGCCAAGAAATATTGTTTAGGCATTCATTGAAGATAAATTTTTAAACAACTTTAAATGAAATTGAAAATTCACATCTCATAAGTCAATTATCTGATTCTTCAATAAAGTGCACAAGCTAATGAAAAAGAAAGAGACAGAAAAGTATATGTAACTTCACGATGTATCTATGTCAGAATAATAGATTTTCAAATAAGTAATATTTCGGAAAATAATTGTGCAAAAAGATCATGATGCATTACCCTGTATGTGAATACAGACAATATCGAGTTTATAATTTGTTATCCTGGAAAATATGAAAAAAAATTTGTTATGACAGATATTCAAATTAAAACTTCGATCTGTTTACAGGAAACTCGAAAACGATATTAGAAAATGTGACAGGATGTTTTCGTTCCGAAAGGTTAACAGCGATTGTCGGTCCTTCCGGTGCTGGTAAAACTACATTGCTTCGCATTATATGCGCCATGAAAATGACAAACGTCAACGGTTCGATCACTGTTAACGGTAAAGAATGGAATGGTAGTGACTTTCGAAAGGAAACATGTTTCTTACCGCAAGAGTTCGCTCTGTTGCCCCTACTTACCATTAGAGAAACGTTATATATCGCAGCACGTTTGAAAGTTCACGGCATCCACGAATCGCGTGCCTACTATTTGATTGTACGTTCAGTATATCAATTTTTTTAAATTAAATGAGAAATCTAAAATGTTACAAAACATTTCCTTTTTAAAATTCATTGCGATATAATTTGAAAATATACAAAATTTCAGAAGTTCGTTGAAAAGACAAGAAATTGAAAAACATAATAGAAATTAATTTGAATAAAGTAAATTGATCTATTATTGTGATTGCGTATATCTAAATTTACAGGTAACGGAAATAGCGGAAAGTTTGAATTTAACAAACTGTTTAGATACTTTAGTAGAAAATCTAAGTGGTGGAGAACGAAAAAGGTTGTCAATTGGCATAGAAATAATTACAAAACCATCTGTTCTGCTGTTCGATGAACCAACCAGTGGACTTGATAGTACATCATCGAATCAGGTCTAATCGTAATTATAGTGATTACTTTTCACTAATTACAATGATACTGTAATTTTAGGAAACAATCTACAAATTATGGTCTACTTCAAATAGGTTATCGGGCTGCTGCATAAGATAGCAAAAGGAGGTTGCACAGTCGCCTGTGCGATTCATCAACCCAGCAGTCGTATGATATCGCAGTTTGATGATTTATTAGTTTTACATAACGGGACTTCGTTCTATTACGGACCTTGGGACGATGTTTTTTGTACATTTAGCGATGCAGGCTACACGTGTCCGCAATTTTATAATATATCTGAATTTGGTAAATGATAATATATATTACTATTAATGATATCAAGGTTCATAATTATTTAATATATTTACATGTTAATTTTGATGCAGTTTTGGAGGTGATAACAGGAGAAAGAAGTGGAGATTTAAATAATTTATACAAAATTAGTCGCGATAAATACTCAAAATCAAAAAAGCATTTACAATATTCTATCATGGGTAATCACGCTTTAATTCGATAATGTTTATGATATTTATAAAGATAAACTTAGAGATTACATTTTATCGATGCTTTGTTTTATTTTAGGAACAGAAGATACAGTTGCTCCGAAATTGAATAATATTACCAGCAAATCTGGCCAGACTGTCTGGCAAGAACAGAAAATTTTATTCTTAAAAGCAATAATTTGTATCAAACGAGACAATGTTAGTAATTGTGTCAAAAATGAAAAACCTGCCTTAATTTATTTTTATGTGATATTTTGTCCCGGTACACATTATTTTTCGTTTGATTATAGACCTTGACAAAACTGAGATTTGCAGCTCATGTGATAGTAGCTTTTCTGCTCGGTATAGTATTTTACGATTCCGGAAATAATGCAAGTAGGATTAACAGTAACATAGCTTGTATATTTTTTGTTCTGCTTTTTTTATATTTCGCGAATTCCATGCCGGCTGTACAAATGTGTAAGTTAACCTTTTGTTAGCATTGTTTTTGCAAGGTAGGAAATTTAAATATTAAATTAATTGTGATACATCTATGTATTTTTAGTTCCTGTAGAAGCTGCCGTTTTTCTACGAGAATACTTAAGTAATTGGTATCGTTTAAGATCTTACTTTTCTGTAAAAGTTTTTTCTGATCTACCATTACAAGTAAGTGTAATAATAACACTAATTTATATATCGTTATATAATAATAACAATATATCATATATTAAAGATATTATATAATAAAATTTAAGATATTACTATCATATAATAACATGTAAGATATTGTTTTCAGTACAATGATTTCTTTATAGATCCTTGCACCCACAGTGTTCATTACTATCACATATTATATGACTGGTCAACCAATGGAACATAATAGATTTTTTCGAACTTGGTTAATTTGTATTTTAACAACGATTCTTGGACAATCATCAGGAATGCTCATTGGTGTTGCATTTAATACACATGTAATAAATGATTCGAGAAGTATTTCAGATGTTAATTATATAAAATTACGTAGTTTGTTAAAGTTTGTTAAACTAGAAATTTTATGTATAACAAATAGCGTAGTAAATTATCTTAAATCGAATTTACCTTATCGCGATATTGTGTAATTCAAAAACAAAATAATTCAGCTATGTAAAATAACATATTAACAAAACTGATTAATATTTTCAGTTAGGAACTTTTTTAATCCCTGCAATTAATATGCCAATGATATTATTTGCTGGATTTTTTCTCAAATTTAGTGAAGTAACACCGTACCTTCAACCTTTGTGTGCTGTCAGTTTTTTTAGGTATATTACTTAACAAAGATTTAATATTTTTATAAGACGTATATTAGATAAAAAACAAATTAATTTTGAATTTTTGTAGGTATGCATTTGAAGGTATTTTGCAGGCAATTTATGATGGAAATAGAGAAAGGTTACAGTGTTATGAAATCTATTGTCATGTACGTTTGCCTAAAAAAATCTTAGAAGGAATGGATATGCCTGCAGTTTCTTTTTGTACCACTGTAATAAGCTTATGTATTTGGATACTATGTTTACAACTTTTAACATATTTGATACTTAAATGGAAAGCACGCAATACCAAAAGATGATGTACTTACATAAATTTTTCATATGAAAATTTGGTATCAAGTTAATATTAACACTTTTGCACATTCCAATTATGATATTTGTACATTAAACAAATAATTTAAATTGTTATATATAAGAAGGACTAAAAGATGAGTACCATGACATAAAAAGTAAACTTTATTTTTCACTTAAAAAATATTTTCACATACTTTCTTATAGCTTACTCATCCCACATAAATATTTATAAATAATAAAGATCTAACATACTTCAGTTTATGCTATAGAAAAGCATATTATATTTTATTTTTTACACAGTCTATAAAGAAATATAGAGCTTATTTATTAATGATAACGCATATTTAGGAAATTTGCAGATTGATAATTCTATGATTTGTTTTTTTGTTTAAATTATATATATGTACATTACAAGCTCGTGCATACTAAAGTTTGGAACAAAAAAACAGTCCATTGTAAATTCGCAATTAATTCACTACATATTTTTGGTCCCACCAAATATAAATATATCAATAAAATAACTGTATAAAAATACCTTAAATTTGTAATTGGCAATATAACAAGTAATAAAAATATAAGAAATTGTTAATGTTATAAGCTACAAAAAAATAAGAATACACAATATATTAGTTACATACAGAAAAGTGCGCAATTGGAAACAAAATTATTTTTTTATTTCATAAATTCATGATATGTAAAAAGTATGTTTGCATTGATAATTGACTCTCATTGAGCAATTTTTAAATATCACGTTCGACTTCCGAAAATATCATTTCGGAAAATATCATCTTAAATATATATTTCATTTATAATATACTAGCATAATCCTTTTTATTCATTAATCTCTAGTGGTGGAATTGTTAACTTTGCCAAAAAATTACTTTATCATACAATCTCATTCAACCGCGAGAGATTAATACAACTGCATGTTAGTTTTACAAGCAAAATATTGAAGTGTCAAAAATTGGCACATTATTAATCAGTGAAAAGATGACGAATAATTTAGAATTGTTTCTGATACAATTTTACATTGTATCATATTGTTATGAATACTTGCTAAATTTCGGTAAGAACTTGCATATATTATACTTGAAAACTGTCGATTCTTATCAACCGAAAATATCGCTAATTTAAAGTGTCCTCTGCGAGATTTTCTTGAATATATTAATTTAGAATCGTAAATCTTACAAAAATATTATAAACATTTATATACATAGCAAAGTAATTTGCATGCATTTAAATGTTCATTTTATTAGAAAAATATGTTTCCTTTCTATTACTTTTTTAACAACCGTGTCAACAATATCTAAAGATATACTTATAATTTTATTTTGTTACAAAACACTATTCCGTACTTGTGAAATGAAACAAACGCAAATATATTTCTCACTTTCTGTAACAATGTCCTATATTAAAATACCAATCATTTATCGATCATGATTGAAAAGTTGAAACAATATTTCCGAAAATCACTTTGGAACTTAATTAAAAAACGGTTTTAATCGGTTTATCTGACAGACATAATCTTCCACTTAAGAAGAAAATAAGCAGAACTCCGCATTAAAAGGAGTATTGTGATGAGCGCCACAATATCATTCCAAAATTGATCACCGTCCATGGCAATATCGGAGAGAAATTTTGTCGGATATCTATAATGACAGTACAAATTGTATTTTTCTTTACAGAGTAACACTGGTCGGTCATATCCGTATATGGCACCAATGAATCTGGGGATTTACAAAAAAAAAAAGAGATTTTAAGATTTATCTCTCAAAATAGAATTATTAAATGTATTAATGGCAATGTATTTGTTGCATTATCTAAAAAAAAAATGTTTACCCTTCTAAGCCATATCGCAAGAAACTAATGTATGTTCCCCATTTGAGATAAATTGGTATATCACGTAATGACACGCCGAAACCAGCAAACATCATCATTGGCACAGATAAAGTTGGTCCTAGAAATGTCCCATTCTAAAATTTGATAAATATTTGTTAGTTTAGTCTCTGATGTATATCGTTAAGGAGCCAATTAAAATATGTATATATATATTTTAACTATGAAACGTTATTGGTATTGTTATAATTAATAAGACAAAAATATACTTACAACTACATTACATACTGCTCCAATCATAAGACCAGCTCCCTGAGCTATCAAAACAATTAATAAACTAATAGAGAAAAACATCAGGAACCGTGATATTTCTAACGGCTGTGACGTGATAAAATATACTATCACGGTAAAAATTAGACAGCAGAATATAGAAAGGGGTAAGTCAATCAACGTTATGGCAGTATAAAACGCTTTTAAATTGTACCATCTATTAAAGTGTTCTTTTGATAAAATATTCATTTGCATGGGAACTGAAAAAATATTGACATATTATTCATATAACGTGTTCGAAAGTTATAAAAGACTTTAATAATAAATTGTCAAATTATAAAAAGTTTTACGTACAAGTTACTACGGTAAGCATCATTGTAGTCATCATATGATGCATCAGAATAGAGAACAAAAGGTTATAATTATCTAACACTCTAGCACCATCCATACCACTTTCAATAAAAACCAAGCCGAGCATTAAACCGACTGCTATATTAACTACGATTCGTAAGTGTGTTAATGTCTGCAACAATAAAAATCAATAATAATTCGTTAAAATAGTGAAAGATTATTTGTATCCACTAGACATGCTACTTAAATGTATAGTAAAATATTAATATCTGTTGCGTATAGGCTACTTAACAAAATAAAAGGAAGTTATGATAATTAAAAATAATAAAAAACATTATGTCATATATTAAAAACAATTAATTAATATAAGTAAGAAGTCGCATACTTAGTAGACTTCCTATTTTCATAATACTCACAGTATCTCTTTTACATATCACAAAACCTCGTTTCAGCAATATTTTTATCTGATGTATCAAGGGCGTAGCTTGAAGACTTGAAGAATTTTTGTTATTTGAATTTATATTTTTCTGGACTGAATGTAATGCTACGAACAGAAAATTATACATTATTTAAAACATCATTATCAACTCTAATTCAATTTGTATGTAACTTTCTTAATATATTTTGTTTTAATTCGTTAATAATGCTACTCGTACCCCTCAGACCGTTCATATCTATCAGAGCGTCCAAATTCTGGAACCATTGCAAACTCTTGCCATTCTCCGAACCCGATATTAATAATGATATTTTGTCTTCTCCGTATTCACCGCAAGCCAGCTCAATTACTGCAAAGAAAAGAAGTAAAGGAAAAAGACGAAACGACGAAACATTTTCACATAACATGAAAAGGTTTTTAAAATAAACCACTGTAAACGTAACATTTAAGAGAAAATAATACATCTAGCTAATCAAGTAGAAAAATTATTTACATAAATAATTTTAAACATAAACATAAGGCGATGTGTGTTATATCCATTTAACGGTGGATAGATAACAGATATATGAAGAAATCGTTCGTACCATAATCAGCTGGATTGTGATACACAGGACACGGTATTTTGATATTTTCCAAATACGGAACCAATTGACTAGTTGCACCATGAAATAAACATTCTCCTTTCGCCAGAACATAAACCTGTAATTACAAATACAAAAATAACAAAATAAACTCATAATAAGACATATGAAATAGAAAAATCCAAATTATAAATTAAACATAATGCACACACACACACAGCCAAAATGCATACATGTACAGTATGATTCAGCACAGCAGACAATATTTCTAAACCATTTCTTCTACAACAATGAGTATTTCGTACCAAATCGAACAGCTGAAACATCGATGCGCTAGGCTGATGAATTGTGCAGACAATCGTCCTTCCTTGTCGCGTAAGTAATTTCAACAAATTTATCACTTGCATGCATGATGAACTATCCAAACCCCTAAAATATCCATCATACATCAGTACAAATACTATAATACAGTTTTATACTAATAGTAATTTACAGGATGTTAACAATACACATGCACATTCACAAGACTTATAAATCAATGTTATGATTAATGTTAAGATTTATAATCAATATTATCACCACTTAATTAAAAATGTATTTCTTTTGGTATAACTGCACTTACGTTGTCGGTTCGTCGAGGAACATAACAGTCGGATTATTGACCAACTCTAAAGCAATGGACAATCTTTTCTTTTGCCCGCCGCTTAACCTCCCCGCTTGAGTATTCATATGCTCATAGAGACCCAAGGTAGTGAGAATTTTTTCAATCTAAAATATAAAGTTTTAGGCATTATACGTATTTCAAATATATATATTTTTTATACAAATAGATACAGCAATATAAGTATAAAAGAAAAATTATTAACAAATAAAATCTGTTACGTATTTTAAGCTGGTAAGATATAAGAAAAATTTAGAGTACTGAGAAATCAAGGAAAAGGTTTCCAATTTTTTTTTTTACTAAATATCGTCATATTTTTATTTTCACTTAAAGTTCTTGCAAAATACTTATTTTTATTAAAAATAAGCTATCAAATCCTTTAAATTGGTAAAGCTATAATTTAACAAACATTCAATTGTTCTCATACTAAAAAGTTCTTTATCTTGCCATACGTTCGTGGTATAATTTCTCAGTGATACAAGAATAAATATCAAAAACTTGCCAAACTGATTTCGGGAATAAACTGCAACTTACTATCGCTTCCTTTTCGTATCTGGGGGTGTTTGTAGGCAGCTTAAGATCACTTGCGACTGTCATGTTCTCCATGACCGTTAATAGACCCTCTAAACGGTCATCTTGGGAGATGTATGCACTACATCTGTGATGATCATGCGAGACACATTGAAACAATGATCATAGATAAGAATACATAATGTACATATGATTTATTTATAAGCTATTACATAAATTGGGTCGCTTATAATTTTTCTCCTCCTTATGTCATAGTTCATTAGTAACAGATATACAACGTGATTCTATAATTTACGGCTGAAACAATCATGTTTTCCTTAATAGAGGATAATATGATTGTTCTATAAAAAACGTAAAAAATATTAAAAACCATTAATAAATAAAAATGACGATTAAATAATGGATCGAGTAATAAGTAATAAAAAATAGATCATTTTAAAATGACAAAGAATAATATAAGGTATAAAAACATTAAGAAGAATATTTAAAATAATGAAGTATTCATTTGCATAGTAATTACTAGTGTGCAAAATTATAAAATAGTGTTACTAACTACCGTCCGTAATGGTATTTAAAATAATCTAATCTTCAGTTACGTGAAAACCCACATTGTTCAACATTGCGGAAACGAGTTCCAACAAAACGATGCTCACTTTCGAAAAGAGTTCATTTGTCGAGCATGCCCATTAACGTAGACAGTGCCGTTCACACCAGTCGTCCTGAATCCCGACAGAATATCCAGCAAGGTCGACTTCCCTGCTCCGGAAGGACCCATTAAGGCGATTAAATGTCTCGCTGGAAGTCTTCCATTGATTCCATGTAATATCTCCTTTTGACCTGCAACATGCCCCATAGTGATTTAGAGGACACATTAGCTATGCATGATGAGTTACGGTGATCAGAACGATTACGTATATCATAACGATAAGGTACACGACTGTTAATTAACCTCGAGGAAAAAGCTATCGAAGTTGTATGCAGATATATATCTATACTTATTGAAACATTAATGTGTATCACTTGTCGCATCGATACATTAAGAAAATTGCATCTTAAATCCAATTAATAATTACTTGCGTTGATGTAATATCAGGCCAACCAATTTACGTAACGATTAAAGAAGCGGGGAAAATTATGCATGCCGAAATTCCGACACTCTTTTATCTGAAGAAACGAAATTTAGCGTTAAACTGACAAATACATCAAAAAGTAACGCATAACTGTCTCTCAGACCAATTAAAAAAATTTCGGATCGTTCCCTTACAGCTTGATATTAATTTTTACTGCATATTTAATTAAGTATGACGGTCATTGTTCCAACTTTAATTTCTGTCAGCCTTTTTTCTAAAGCCGTGATTAATGCTGCGGTTGCTCTTGGAGAATACGATATACTTCTTGAGGATCTGACACAAAGAAACGGAGAAAAGGAAGAGGAAACGTTCGGGCACTCAGAGAACACTGACCTTTCCTATAACCGAGAGACACCGTATACGTGATGTTTTCAAAGATCATATCAACGGTGTCCATTGAGTCGGTTTCCATGAAATGTGCTCCATCCTTGACTTGTGCATTCTCCATCTTCTTCACTGGCAGTTTAGGTGAGGTATAAATCTTCGTATCGATTATGTTTGTCCCCTGGCCATTGCTCACCTCGTGCATCAGTACTTCCATCGTCAAGAATATTGCACGAGAGGGTGAAGCGGCCAGAGAGTATTAATTTTCGAACGTTCACTGGTTAATTCAACATAGGTAAACAAACGCTGCGAGCCTATAATCATAGAGAAAGGGATCATTGTTACAGGAAAGAACATAAAGAAAATATAATGTTCATAGTTAATCCTTTCTATATATATGCTAACTTCAGAATAGTACTTTAATGTAGCAAAATTGTCATATATTTTTATAAAGTCCACGTGCATTAGTCCTCTTCTATATATTTAAGGTTAATTGACCGTTAAAATGTTTCGCAGTATCGTCAACCATCGTCTCCATATCGCTGCTTTATCCCCATTACTTTATATTATTTGTCTACTCTGACACAACTTTGCACTTTATACGTGCCTGATTTCGTTCTTTTATATATAAGCTGTAAATTGATACTTCGTTAATTAAGAGAAATTTGCATTACAAGAAAGATTTAAACAAAATGTTACGCATGCGCATGGAAGTCCAAGTCCAGAATAATTTGGAAGAAAGATGAGAGTTATATATGAGAACACGAATGATGAAAGATATTTTCAGATAAGTTGTTGAGCAATTACATAGGTATCATATTCAACAGATTTAAAGATTACGAGATTTTAGGTCACAGACAAAATATTTTGGATAAAACGTCTTAGTACCAAGGTAATCGTAGTCTATGGAAAAAAACTGAATAGTTCGAACATCGAATTGCATCATATGCGCAGTCTCAAAGGAGGCCACCTGTAACAATTTAAACACCCCGTGGGCTTCTTAAACTTAGTGAGTCAAATCTATTATCTTTATTCAACGTGTTTGATTTTATCGTGCGACAGTCGTTTTAATTATTATATAAGAATATTATTACATGGAAATCAAAGTACAGTGCATATTATGTAATTAAACATTATCCTTGGTGTAATACTAAAATGACTTATTAACTAAACATAGTATGTTCGTGTTTCTTATGAAAAAAGGTTAAGTGAAAAAATACGCAAATGATACAAATTGAGGATCAAACCTATGAGGATATATATGTGGTTTCCAGTATTTAATAACGAAATAAAAATGTTCTATCGATAGAATAAAAATATTTAAGGTATATCTATGGTATATTTATATATAGAGTATATTTAAGAAAGTAAAATTTCGTTTTCTAGAACATAATTAATTAAAATTTCAGAACGCAATTTCCGTTATTCAAACGTCAGATAGCAAGTTCAAAAATGGCTCCTATCAGTGTTCGTCGCTATTACATGTTGATTTAGAACACAAAAACCTGTTAGTCAACTACTTCCGGAGGTCGCAGGAAGTTTCCACGGATATCTAGTTAAGGCAACAAAATAGTAAACGTTCGTACTTGGAAATAGTCCAGTTAAAAATTGTGCAAGGGTTTGTCAAAGAAAAAAAAAAATGACGCATGACAACGCTTTCTTGGAGAAAAAGTTTTTATGACGGAATATATGTAATTTTTTCAAAATTGGACACGTAACTATTAAGAAGTTTCTCTTCGATTATATAGGTTTATTACACAAACTAATAATGAAATACGCCACAGATCGTATATGGCACTCGAACCATACTTTCCATGTGTTTAGATGAGCTATCGTTCGTTAATTTCTCCTTTCACCATTTCTAAATGCGAATTCAAAGTAGCTATGAAAAATAGACATATTCCATAGCTTGAGTCATCAACACGCTACGCGTGAACATTTTGCGCACAAAAGTGCTTCTTTCAGAACCATTTACCAGACATGAGCTTTATAACATGCTATTGACCTCACGAAATCAAAGAAACTGAAATAAGACCTATGCAGAGCCTCCACTTGTCGCGCCTCTTTGTTTTAACTGGTGGACAGGACCTTCGTCGTGCCTGTAACGCCTCTTTGCGGCCGTATTACAAACCTGCATCCACATTCGGTGTCTACGAACAGATACGATTCACCCATGCGAGTCATTGAAAAAATTGCTTCACCTTTGGCATACATATCTCAAATTATGCCAGTTATACAAGAAACACAATAATCAATTGATCAGCGATGAACTTGTAAATCGAGAACTTTGCCTGCGTAATTTAAACTGGTGATACTATTACGAATGTATATTAATCTTTTTCTACAGATCTAAATAACAATCGACTTTTTTTTTTATATTAACAGTACACGCGAAATCGTGCGAAACACTTACTGGTGAAGTTCAATCACATGACTTAACGGAAATCACGTAAAAACTCGGTGCTGATCCTCGATTAGATTAGATTAATCTATGGTCAAACACGACAAAGGTTAGTGGAACTTTCTGTTCACATTTCATCGAAACACGTGCACTCACATTACGTCACACAAATGGAAATAGAGATGAGTATGGAAAGTAAGTTGAAGATTCTGCCCAATTAACATAATTGGACATTAATTTCTTCATTAATAATGGTTTCAGAGATTGAGAACAGAATATATTTGTCCTGTTATTATTTTCTTATACATGATATAGCAAAGTATCGACACTGTCACACCATGAATCATTTAATGACAGTGATTCTGCAAATTGTTATAATGATATAACAGCAGCATTATATTATAGTTACTTCACAGTCATAAGTAACACTTTGACGATCCCTAAAATCCGGTAAGCATAAGCTTCGATAATAAAAAAAGTAATAGCTTTAGAAACAAATAATTCTCTTTAAAAAAAGAATTATAAAATTTTTAATTTGTTTTACGACAATTTGTTTGCGTGCTATTTAGAAATATAACATGCGTTGGGTGTCCAAAGGTCAAGCAAAAGGATGGAACAGCGAGAAACAGGAGATATCCTAGTTTCTGCTATACACACGATTACATGTAGAATAATAAGAACACCAAGGTGGTTTATAGAGAAACGTTTACTAGAGGCAATATCACCGATGAAGAAATAATCAAAATTGGTACATTTTAATGAAAATTTATTTACGTTCATTTAAACAAGTGCTATTGAAAACGTTAATTACAACAGTATTTCATTACTTCTTTGCACAATGATCACAGTTAATCTTTCGAAATATGAATAATTGATATAAATGCATAATATTCAACTTAATGTCAACGTAAATATATGGAGAAAATCGAGGAACAATTAAAACATAATTAAAAAATCACGACTTTCTCAACTTCTATGATTGGCACTACTCGTTAGGATCTTAAATTAACTATAAACAACGTTTACCTATATCATTTTCTTCGTTTCACATACATATGTGATAAAGAAGAAAACAATGCATATATAGTGTCGTTAAGAGAGCATCGACGACATTGAAACAGTTGATTATTAAGCAAACTTCCTCAAAGAGAACAAAGTGGTCTATCTCCACGGCGATAACCGTAATCTTGTTTATGGTATTAAACGACGATCATTGTTTCAGAAGTACAACCGAACTGTAGTGACGTCCGCCTATATCGTTTAAAATTCTAACAATCTAATAGGACGAATAAAAGTATATCTGACCAATGAGGAAGAGAATGGAATAAGGATAAGATGAATGTAGCACAGTTGTATTATATAATTTTATATGCAATAGAAACACGAAAATATAAAAATTAATATGTTTTTAGATTATTATTCTAAAAAGAAGTACGAATATAACAAAATCATATCGTCGTACAAAAAATATATTATTCACAGGCAAATAGTCAGCCAACAGCTATAAATTACAACAAATGGTCGAAGTACATCGCAAATCTTATCGCGTGAAATGAATCAACAATGAAAGTCCAACAGAGATCATTAAAGATCCAAACCAGCAGTTGTTTACAAGAAATTGTATAATTCAAGTTCAGCGTTTATTATTCTTGACACGATAGCAATGCACAGCAACGAATCTTCCATATCGATTTCTTCTCCGAGTGAAAATTTTGTTCATAAAATTTTGCATATATATTTGGAAATCTTTTCTGAATTATACCGCAACCAATCAGAAGATTGACCCTGGTAATATATCGAAATCATGTCAGTTGCAAGGTAGAGTTTTTAACTCTTATTTTAATTAGTTATAAGCATTCACAACCATGTATCTTTGCAAGTTAGAAGTACACACAACAGATTTAAGATAAATAATTTATTTGCAACTCAATTTATAAAATAATGCAAGTTGCAATTGTAATTTTTGTTCTTAAGAGAATTTATCTGCTATTCCCGAATAAAAATTATTCATGATCGTTTCCCATGGATAATTTTTATTTGTTTCCTACGCGTTATTTTTGCTAGGGTGTTGAAACGAACATGAAGCTATACGATAGGGGAGAGTGACGCTGAAACAGAGACGCTAAGACTCAGGAATACCATCATATAACAAACCTTTGTGATTCATGATCCAAAAACAGAAGGATCGAGGTAACTCTTGCGATCATGCATATGTTGCACGCGTTACAATGCAAACAATGCAATTGAAATGTATTGTTCATGTGTGAATCTAATATGAATCCAAATCTAAACGTAAATAAGAATTACGAATGAATCTAAACACTATGAACACGAATCTGAACACGTATAAATTTAAACATTATAGAACAATAATGATTATTATTTTCAAATACTATTTATAATACAACTTTTATAAACAATTACAAAGAGTCTTTGCTTAGAAATTAATTAAATTGTTTGAAATCATTTGATAGACGATGATTAACGTGCGATTGTTGAGAGAAATTAGTCTTCGCGTACAAAGTTCAAAGTTACTTTATCGAACTTGCACATCATGGATGATTATGTATTTACATATATCTGCTTGCTAACATTCGCTATATGAGTCATCATATATAATTCCTCCTTCTAAGGAATTCAAAATGACTTTTGCTCCTTGCACCGACTAGTTTATGATTGTGCAATTCACTTGTTATATTTATAATGATATTTGTAATTATTAGAAATCACATATGTACGTATGAATGTACTAAGTTTATGCGTCAATTATTTATATCCAATCAGTTTGTTTTATTGACGGTATATGACATGCAGTAACAATCATTTAAAATTGTAAATACGTGGATTTCATAACGTCATCGTATAATATAAAAGTTCGCACAGACAAATAATATTATTCTGATCAATACCTATTCACAGCGAATAAAAAAGGTCCCTGATTTCAGGCCTATTTAATTTATTCGAATAGCAAATATTGACATACTTTGTTAGAATTAATTATAGCTGAGTTCAATGGTATTCGTGCCGCATTTTGATTACCTCGAAAACCAAATATACATTGGTAAATCGACATCCAACAGCCACTACAATTATTCTATTACATAAGAATGAGGAAACATCAAATTTCGAGATTTTATCGATGAAAAAAAAAGAAATAATAATTCGTATTTGAAAAATGTAGATTGGTCAAGCTCCATTTTGAAATCCAAAGAATACAATTATTTCGTAATATATTGTTATGTAAGATGTCTTTTCTCAAAAATCTTATTTTAAATTCAAAGCTGTGCAGAGATAGAAATAACACCTGAATATCTTTTTGCAGTTAAATAAATTAATATACTCGAGAAGAACGAAGAGACCGCAAACAAAACAACTTCATTACGGATAACTCGCGTGAATATTTTATTATGGTTTTATACAATTTTTGTCTCCTTTGACGTCGGTATTTATGTCTAATAGGTGACACTAAGAGCATCAGTTAAAAGAGAAAAAAATATTTATCTAATACCTTGGTTGATATTTATTTGAAATTTAAATTTTTAGTGACACCGATAAAATACTTCCTGGAAAAGCATAAAAACATTACTCACAGTTTCAATAAGTTTCCTTACCAATTCAGTTTAAATGTCAATTTAAAAATTTTGTTACGTTCAACAGAACGTGAACATCCGCATAATGTTTTCCTAACATTAATACGTCCGTGCATAAACCAATTATTACAAATTAAAGAAACAAGTGATGTAAGTCAATGTTTTCTGCTCCTTTCAAGTACCGACATTAATACTTGGTATATAGTATTATTGGTGCAATAACACCGTGTCCCCGAAAATATTTGGCTTATCTTCTATTTTTCTATTTTCTGTCCTAACCCGATACACCAGTTTGACCAAACACGTTTTCAAGGACATCAAGTATTTATAAAATTTTATACTGCAATAATTGATATAAGAAACCAAATTCCATTTAAATATTTTTCAAAATGTTTTTCAGATGTTTCTTAAATGTATCTGTCTGATTACACATAGATACACACGATAAATATAATTTTATCAGCCTTTCAAATAGCTCTCCAAATATCAAATTGTTTTATTCTTTTTGAGAAATGCCTTTATCCCTCTATCAAGCAGGAAATATCTAATTCCATATTTTTATCTACTACGTATTCTTATGTAAAGCGTCATGATACGATAATATTTCGTAATTACGAAAACCAGATCGAAGTCACGCTGCAGAAGATTTTTCAAAATTCGCTTAGTAAATTCTGTCCCGCTTTTAAATGCTCCGCTGATAAAATGATTGAACAACAGTATACGCACACTGCACGATATGCGCAAAGTTCAATCGGTCATTTCATAGAATTTGCTGCGGGATGCCGATATCGATAGTATGAAATTGATACTGAGTTTGATACATGACAATCCTCCCTCAAACTATGATGCCTATAGAAAAAAAACATGAATTCAAATAAAATGATATTGCGACTTAAATAAATGAACTCTATCCAAATACACTCGTATAATGTTACAATTAAAAACTAACCTATTCTATAAAAGTACATTTCGTTCTATACCATAACCTATTCTATAAAAGTACGTTACGTTCTATACCATAATCTATTCTACTTACTTCCTTCCATATTCTTATAATCTGAAATAATTCCTACATCCAAATATCGATGATCATTAACCTCAAACTGTTAAGGTGTTTTCGTTAATCGATCTACGTCTATTTTTCTTCTTTTTTTTCTTTTCTGCAAAAGTATTAGAAATTTCATTTAAACTTCATTCAACCCTCTTACAATCGAAATTAATTTCTTTTCTTGTATCATATTAAATATTTAATACATTCATGAGAACATACTTGTGCAGACTTATTATTTCCGAGAATAATAACGCTGAGAAATTTTCAAATTTCACTTCGCGTGCTTTCTATGTCGGTCACTGCACACACGGGATGCAGTTCCATTCGTTCGAAATCCGGAAAGATTGTACGATTTCCATCGACTTCCTCGAGAGGTGCTAGGAAGTAGGACAAGACAGACAAGGATATATTACCTCACGTTTCTACTAACATCTGATGGATAGTTCATTTTGAACGTTATTCAACATCGATAACTATTTCTAATATCTTAAAATTATTTACTTTGTTAAAAAATATCAAAACAACGAAGTTAGCAATAAATATAACCTTATTAATTTCTAATGAAATATACACACGTTTGGAAACTAATAAGAGAGAGGAACAAACATAGAATTGAATACCTGTTATTACATAAGGTCGTTCACCCTATTCATTTTGTAGTGAAAGCAATCACGAATCTTAATCGTGCATGATACTCGATCGCTTTTGTTTGTCTTCAAACAAAGCGTGAGGTTCCTCCTATTTGATTTTCCGATTTATTTGAAGCCTTTCCCTTCCCTCTCCGCGCGTACCATCGCAATTAATTAAATTAAAAATATTGATGAACATAAATGACAACGATTTAATACAGACTACATGGTTAACTATGAAGGTTAGGAAACATTAATTTTAGACATTATCGATGCAAAAAACTTTAGCCTGATTAGATAAAAAATGTTTCCAAATACATATCTTTAAACGAATATGATTTATGACAATGAAAACAATAGCAAGTAAAGAAAGTTATTCTTTAAATATTAATGTCAAACAAAAATGATAACAAATATTCCTAATGCATTTCACATTTATGTATTTATAATCTACATTCGAACATAATTAAACAGGTATTTTAATAAGATACATAGCACAACATAATATGACATCATTTTACAAAAACGTCCATAACTATATCATAGTCACTTATTCCATTTTGCAGATGTTTTCATAAACAAATATTTTACAAATTATGTACTTCACAAACTTATTTTAATCAAACAAAAATTTTATTGTAATAATAATTTATATATGACTTCACAAATTGTTTTTGATTATTTCAATTTTTAATAACAATCATCGGCAGAAACAGTATTACGAATTCTTTACCGCACACAAACGTATTTCCCCATGTATATTAAGTTTTTAGCACGTTCGTCATATAAGAAATATCTAAAATACACACTTACCGGAATAAGGGTACAAAAAACGCGGCGAATCTGTTGCTATCGGCTTTCTCGGGATAATTTTAGTACACCAGCTCTTTCACGACTAATTCGATGGATATTTTGACACACGTGCGTTTAAACGAGCTGCGTCGGATAAAACGCGAGCTTATGACTACGAAAGCGCGGGCAAAAGTGTCACGGACATGACCACATACGAAAATTCATTACAACTCCGTAGAGCGCGTGGCATGCACAAGAACCTAACCGCTTACTACCGCCGATCGACACGCATGTTCTCCCTTTACTGCCTCCCTCTATCATGTCTTTATTCCCCTCGCGATTCGCCTGCCGATCGGGAGTATCACGCCCCCTCTCTTTTTCTATTTCACATAACGATTCTCAAGTACCATACAGAGATGGAAAGATGATGAGCGGAAGGAATTCGGGTCCGATTGGTTTTAGTGTAATTGGTCCACCTTCTTCGATACAATCATGTAGTGACAAATTTTCGTTATTGGTTGAAACTATCCATCTAGAAATTTAATCATACAGTATTGCATGACAAAGCGGACAAGAGAGACACATAGAGATCGAATTAAATAAAGCATAGATAGAACAGCAAAGTTAATCCTTAACAGAAGATGAAAATCGTTACGATATAATTTATCCCATTAATGTGTTAACGCACCATTGAGAATCTAAACGTATGAATTTCGGAAACATCGAAGATAAAGTCAAACAGACAAAACAAGACATTTCTCTTACCCCAATATTTCATACTCGTTAAACCACTATTTTCGTATTTTCTCACTTTTATATGCAAAATTAATAAATATTTATTCTTTATATTTTAATTGATGATAATGTATCAAATCGAAAATAACGAAGATCATTACATATAATTTGATCATGTATCATTGCAATAGGCACTATAATAAATTTTTTGTTTGCATCATGTTGTTGAATATCTTTAATATCATGTGCGGACTAAGCAGTGTTAAAAGTATCTTCCGTTGCCATAAAGTTTTTAAAATACCTACATACGCTTTATAAAAATATAATCGTGTACTTTATGGTTAAGAAATAATAGTATGATAATGGATATAAGGTCTATATTTAAATAATTTTATTGTAATTGATTTTTCGAAAACTATGTCCAATTTAATTTAATTTTTTACATGAATTTATTGACTATTTAAATTATTAAATACTTATAAAGAAAATATATGTAATGAAAGCGTTTTCAAACTTGAATTATAGTAGCGCTTAAAGATAGATAATCAGTACCTCCCTTATTATGTCCTCCTTTTACACTGTTCTTTACTCGATATACTGGATATACATTACAAATGAGTTATTTGGAATAACCATAGATTTGACAAATATTTATAAATTTATCAACAATTTTAGGTGGTTACTTCATTTATTTTTTAAAAAAGAAATTTAAAAATTTTTAACGTCAAACACATTTTCATATAACAAAATTCAAAGAAAAAATTACTTACTTATTATACTTATCAATTACAAAATTTTTGTCAAAATCATCCATCTAATCAATTCAGGAATTTTTTTGCCATTTCATTGGCAATTTAAACCATATAAAAATAAACAAAAAAATAAATAAAGTAAAAAAATAAAAACAAATATTTTTCCGTTTTGTCATTTTTATGTGAATTAATTATTGCCATTAAGATTGATATTTCGGCAACATCGAAGAAAGATAACAAAGAATCGATATAATATTAGTCAATATCTAATATAATATTATACAATATTCTATGTCATAGAAATGTTTTAATCCCATTGTTTCTTAACACTTACATATATGTATGTATATAATAACAATTCTGATCATTTTTTTGTTTGAATAATTTCCTGACGTTTTTTATGTTTTTCATTTGCACAAATGATAACTGTTCTTCTCGGAGATTTCCTTATACAAGATATTCAGTACATGTCTTATTTAGTTTATTACTAATTGCGGGGTGTAAGATAATAATATCTTCATTGCATACTGCTTTCATGATTCTTCTTTTATTCCGTTAACGAGTTCTTTGTTATATGAACATTTTTCAATTTTATACAAGCAATTAATTTTTGAGTTTAACAATAATAATTTAATATTAATAATAATAAAAAAGAACCATATATATGTCTTGCTTGAATAAAGTTCAAATCAGTTATAAATGAAACAGCAACGCCACTATTCGAGTTCAAGTACACAAAGCAGACTTATCATCGATCTCAATGAACTTGGAAAATTACGAAATTGGTAAGTTCAGAAATTAGTCAGTATAAAAGAAGTATTTCATTTCATTGTAATAGTTACAATTAGTGAAGTAAAATACAAATTTTCTCTTGTCAAAAATATTTATAAGTATGTAATCGATTGTTAATTAGCCTCTTGAACCTTACGAAAAAGTAAATATAAAATTGGTGTACTATTATTATAATATACTCCCACATTACAACGAACGAGTTTTAAACAATCTTAGAAAGAGGTACAAAGGTACTTCCTTGATTAAAATGTACAAAGACATTTTCTTTATTTCAATATTAAAAAATTGCAATATCACGAAAATTTACATTTTGTGTACACGTTACACGAAATAAAATATTTAAAGAATGAGATATTTTAGTACTTCAAACGTAGCATATTAGTATTTATCATTGTTATCTTCACCTTTTATCTAGAACCATTCACTATATAGACCATTGTAGCCATAATAAAAATGCTTAAAATGATTTTCTTCGATAAATGATTATAACATTATTTACATATTAAATTTATTAGACTGTTGTACCATTCAATACAAAATCAAATATAATGTGATTGAATAAGAATCAATGGACTTCTGTCATCCAAGAGGCTACTATCATAATGAAATACATGACTCAGGATGACCATTGACCCGACCTCATGATATTTATCAAGCTTATCCACGTGCCTGCAACATTGCTCTTCTACTGAGAAATATGTTTATAATTTCTGTATACAATTGATCACTTTTTAATTACTTAAAATTATTACTTTTGCATAATTTACATATCTATATACATTAATATCATTACCCATGCTTCATTTCCTATAAAACTTCTTGATTTTTTTTAAAAATAACCAATCTATGAACTTACTCAATTTCATATTGTATGAACATTTATAAAAAATAGTATTTTACCATCATATATTTATATTTTCGTATTTAATCAACATTAGTACGTTTATTTATAATAAAAGGTCATTAACAAAATACAAATTAATAAAAACCATATTCACATTGTGAATAACATTTATTCATCATCTTGTACAACTGTAGTTTTTTCAGACACATAGATACCATCCAAGAACTTTCTAATATCCTTGTTTTTTACAGTTGTCGATTGTTGTATAAGAGCAGCTAAAATTAAAATAATAGTTAATTACAACTATAATTCATTTATGATAACAATTTGTCCTATAAACAAATATTTACAAATGATTACTTACCAGATCGAGAAACATCTTCTAAAGAATTTCCTTCTATTATAAGTTCCTCTTTTTGTTTAGCTGAATTTGTAACAGTCACTCCTGGTGCCATCTTTACACGGCGGATATACTTTTCACCTAAGAAGTTACGAATTTCAATAACTGTATTATTTTCAGTAATAACACAGTTAATGGGGAAGTGAGCAAACACAGCTCGCATTTTGTATTGATATCCTTTAGTCACTCCCTTCAACATATTTTCAATATGAGAACAAACTGTACGAACAGCTGCTAATTCTTTCTTTGTTCCAAACCATTTCTCAACTTTTAATAACCTTGGATTTACCATCTGGAAGAAAAAAGAAATACTGTGCACATTTAAAAACAGTACTGAATTATATTTCAACCTATTCAAATGATTATATTGATCAGATATGAATTTATCATTTATTTAAAAAATGAAGGGGAATCCAAATATCATCAAGTAAGAAATAAATTCAAATATATTTATATTAGAAATAAATACTATATCATAAATATTTATATCAAAAACATTAAACATTTATGCTTACACGGATATCAAGAGCAAGGTGTTTAAAAGAACGTTTTAGCACACCTCTAGGTCCTTTAACAGTAACCAAACGGGATTTAACTGTAACAGTCAATCCCTCAGGTATTTTTACAGTCTGGTTGGTTACAATTTGCTTCATCCTGTAACATAATAATATAATACACTAATTAAAAGTATAATAAAGTTTTAATCAAACATAATTGATAATCACATTGTAACATATATTATATTTTGAGCAGATAAGTATTATTCTTATATAAAAGTACAAGTATATTATATTATGTAATGTTTTTACTTCATTAAATAAATCGTTAATATTATATTTGATAATATTGATATACAGTAAAATAAAATTAAAACTTTAATAAACTTTCTAACTTGGTTACACTTTATTTAAATACTAATTAGATATAAACAATATATATACCTTATTGTTGATACTTATATTGCATATTATTTGTTTTCTAATGCACAAAAATTAATAGGTTATGCATCCACCATATCAAATTGTCAGATTTAAAGTATTATATATAAACATAAAAAATAGATTTAATTTTCACCATTTTTTAAGTTGATAATACTAATTACTTAACATATATACAAATATATTAAAATATTTGTGTGAACTTTTTATACAAAAACAAATATTTATAAAAACTAAGAAAGAAGGTTATATTCCATTATGATAAAAATTATTTTCCAAAAATAATACTTAGCCATGCACAAACATAGCACATGATATTAAATAACACGCATAACATATCACAACATTCATTGCATTACTAGATTGTTTGAGATTTTACCAAGTACCCTATAATTTTATTACCTCACACACGCTACGGTATAACCGGAAAAGACAGAGGCGTTGAAAAAGCATGTCTACTATCCCTTGAAGTATTAAAATTTATAGATAAGAACAAGATATTTTATTCTATCAACTTACTTTAATTTCTCCTTATAGATCACGTATTTTAAAGTTTCTTTTTTCAAACTATTTTTTATTATATAAAATAATAATTTTGAATAAATACCTCAAGCTGAAAAATATAAGATGCTTATTAATTTGAGAATATGTAATAGGTGGAGAAACAATCAAATGTTTTGGACTATTTCTTAAACATAAAATGTACTTTTTTATAAGTTAACTAATATCGTTTTAATTATATTTCTTTTTGTATCTATAAATAATAATCATTATAAATTTTTAAACAAAACATAACATTTTAAGATGAAACAATCTATGATTTCCTTTTTTCGTGGTCAAATCTTAGAACCAAATTTTTGACTGTAAAATGGCCGATTACGTTACTGAAGTAGCTAGTCACTACTAGTGTCTTTTGTGCGTGATTTTTCATGTTTAATCCCGCGCTTTACTTTAAAATACATATAAAATAAAAAATTTTATTATATTTAAAAGTAAAAAATAAAAAAAAATTATCTACTCTTATGAAAAATGTACAGTATTTTCATTTGTGAGATAAAATATAACTTTTGGTTACTTTTCGTGGACAATAAATATTTTAAGTAAATCACAACGTACGCAACAATTTCAAATTGCCGTAAGTAAATCATTATGTACATGTACACAAGTTGTACACATATATAGTATGCGCGATAGTTTTATCAGTAGTTTTCATGACATAATTTATATCAACATGTAATTATTTAGTAAACGTTTAAAGTAATTTTTTTTTAATGTTCATCATAATTCAATACTTGTATCTAAAATTTTGAATATTATAATTATTGTTGCCTATTTTATTTTAAATAAAATAATAATATGTTATACAGTATTCAGAGACAAACAATACATCACCAAAGGAATTTTTATATAAAAGGAATAACCTTGGAGAAATCATCGTGAAAGGACATTTGATGCTCCAGTATGTTAAAATGAATCTACAAATATCTTGTTAGTTAATATACTGAAGAGTGAAGTGATAGGATTATTCATCAAATTATTTTTCTTTTAAATAATATCAAATTTATTATTAATATCTAATCACTATTAATTATACAGAAATATAATTTAACGTTTAATTTATTTAATATTTGGAAACTTTACTGGTAAAATTTGTTTTATTATAAAAAAATTTGGAGCTTTCAAAAATACATAGGTATTTATGTATCAAATATGGATAAGCTCCAAGTAGATTTTATTAAAAAGGAATCTATAATGGATGTAGATATTAAAGAAGAAAAATCAAATACATTTGTCTCTAGGAAAGGTAATGAAATAACTATAGAATCAAATGAAACATTGGATAAAAAAGATATGTTAATAGCAAGGTTACAAGAACAAATTGCTAAACAAAAAGAATGTATATCATATTATGAAAGTATAGTACAACTTATGAATTATAAACTCATGAAATTGAAAAAAGTTCTTAAAGCTCATCAACTTTTAGAGGATCTTGATTTGTAACTTTGGTTGAAAAAGATATTTAACATTTATTCCTTAAAACATTAATTGCAAGGAAATGACAATTGTATTTAGAATGAACCTATTTTTTACTTTCATACTGGCAAAAATATGTACATATTTATGTTAATTTTCTAATAAAAGTTTCAGTATTTCAATAATAATCATAATATTTATAAATATCTAAACATAAATATCTGTAAAAACTGATGTATGTATTATGTAAAATTCATGTTTATTAAAATCTTTTTAAATTTCTCTTAACACAAAAGTTTTACGTGAGTTCAATTCCGCTTAGATATGAAACTCATTGAATTTATATGTATAGTTAAGGAGTAATATTATTATTACAACATTGAATATACAGAAATTAAATTATATAAAATATAAATATCAGATAATTTCAAAATTCTTATAGACAGGTTTTGCTCATCGATAATATGTTGCAACTATTGTTATAATTATCAAAAACTATTTTTTATTTTAAGTTTGTCTATTAATTACTTAAAAATTTTGTGCACTTTAGAACTGTAAATGTCTGACTGAAGATACTACTTTTTACGAGCTATTTTATTCTGTTTTATGTTTAATTATTCGCTATATTTAGCATATCTCATTTGTTAAGATCACATTAAAATTGTACCTACAATTTGTTCATTAGTATTACTATGGTTTGTGTACATTATAATATACTGATTAACTAAATTTCTTTATGCATTAAACACTGTTAAAACCAGCATGTCAAAATATAATAAATGTATAATTTAAAAATAAGAATAAAATGTCTTCAATAGATAACTTATGTTGAATATGTCAAATAAAAATATTAACTTTTATTGACCTTAGTTTGTACTGTATGCATTACTATTCTTGAAAGTTTATTATTTTCGTTAGATCTTTTTCTTTAAACGCTAATTGAATTTATGTTTAATATTATTTATTATGGAAAAAAAAAAACGAATATGTGGCGGTAAATAAGTTAAAGGAGTCTGATATTGTCTCCAGAACTTCATTTTTAAGAAACATATATAGATATCAAAAATCGTTGGAAAGTACACAAAATACAAAAATTTAATTTATTTATCATTTAAGTAGCAATATACACTGTTACACGACATCGTGCGCAAAAGAAAATATTAAAATATTGATACTACAAAATATAAAATAAATTGTATTTTACAATACTTGTGTACTGAGATGCAATAAATAAAATTGTTAGTAAGAATAAAATAAGTCAATACTTTAAATGTTTAAGATCATCTTTCTCCCGCATTGCTTGTCTAAAAATATATATAACATTTAATAAATTTATATCTACATATTAATCATAATTATCAAATGCAAATACAAGCTATGTTACGAATTACAATACAGTGTTATAATATATTCCAATTTTTCAGTACGGATGCACCTTTTTTTTAAATTTTACATTCGAATTTTAGTGTATTTTATACAACTCTGAAGGAATCAAGCATTATTCGTATATACGAAATTAATTTCTGCTTCACTGAATATTAGTAAAATATAAGGGACCATTAACAATTTACGACGTAGCTACTGCCATTTATCAACAGGATTAGAGACTATATGATAAATTAATTTTTCTTTAACGCACAAGAAAAATATATTATATAATATAGAAATTTGGATATGCATTCTAGTGACTTGTATATTGCTACTTGAAAAACGTTTATAAAATGCAGCGTTGAAAATGATGTTTCCACACTTACTTTACAGTAGTTTCATAAATAGTATAAATGTTGAGTCTTATTTTTTTTGACTTTCGTACCTTAAAAAAGGTGATAGAACATAATAATATTCACGTTACAAAATCAAAACAAAAATGTTTATAAAAAAGTCTCTGTCTATTCGATTCTTAGAATTCTATCACACAATCGCGAGTTTCACAGATTTTATACCTCTACGCGACAGTACGAAATTCTACTCTTTTCCAGAGCAAAAAATATAAGTCTCGCGAATTCTGGTCCGCAAACAATTATTTCAGCGGCAAAAACTCAAATTCTGCTTGTTATTTATATATATACAAGCAAAGAGGTATTTTGTCAATTTACATCCACATGGCATTTCTACTAGTAATCCGCTTGCATAGATAATCGTTGATTGTTACTTGGTTTTAACGGTGTTGTACAGCGACGTGCGTCTGGAAATCTTTCATAATATCTCTCCAATCTCAGGTACTTCACAGTTACTAAATGACCTAAAAAAATATCGTGTAAGATTTTAATAGAAATAATAGAGAAAACATATTAATAAATCTTTTAAATATTTACCATCAAACCAACATCCATGTAAAGCCCTATAAGCTTTCCCTGCATCTTCCTGTGACATACATTTCATGTAAACACAACCTTCTCGACTACCACGGTCTACACGGATGTGAAGAATTTTTACGGTCTCTCCACATTTTTCTAGAATAGCATCTTGTACCTTCGTTTCCCAATCATCTTCAAATTCTCTACAGAAATATACATAAGTATATATAAATACATGTATGTATGCAACATTAAGAATTACTTACACATCAGCATCAAACATATGCCTTATTTTCAAGCAAGGTGTTGGTGAACAAGTCAAACTATTGACAGAACCTTCCATTGTTTCAAATGCTTGACCTTGCCACACTTTAGATTTTTTGCTTAAAACAAAATTTTGAGTATTCGATTTAAGATTGTTATTAGGCAACCAGCGCCATACATAAAATTCTTCTCCTGCAACCTGTTGTACTTCTCTTCGAATTCTAAAATTAAATACTTTTATTTGACATAAGGAAATGTGATAACTAATAGAATTTGCAATAATTTACTACCTAGATTCATTTTCGTCTAAAAATTTCACTGCTTTTTCCCAAAGTCCAGCCATTTTTTTCCTATCTTTTGGAGGTATTAGATTATCACGTACATGATTTATGGCGAGAAAACTTTCTTGCGTACCGCCGGGTGTTGCAACTGCCGCATTTTGATGGTGAATCTCGACCATGTTAATAATATCACTAACAAGTTTAAACACTTCTCTCTCGGTACTTTTCTTGTACCTTATATACCAAACGAATAATTTCTGCATTCCTGTAGCTGCTAAGAGGCCTGAGAATATATTACAATATTATTTATACATGACAATAAATTAATATAATATAAAATTTGAGAACATACAATGTACTTTCAATCTAATGTTACCACACAACATGAATATCAAGCGTCGCGATATTGCATGCACAAGAGAATTACAGAACAAGCATTATTGTAGCAAGAGACAAAATTTACTAATGCAACGTAATTACAGTATTAAAGTACTAAACTTGTAACAAAACATAATGTTTTAAAATATAACATTATCACGTTATTATAGAACCTTATGGAATTATATTTTCAACAAGTTTCTTCCCATAATAAGTCGGTCAAAAATTTACCAAGTGACACGATTAGAAGGGAGGAGAATATGGTGAAAAGCTTATTCTTGATAAGACATTGCATCGGCAACTCCGGGTTTATTATCATCATTCCGACTTTTCCATTTAGACGAGTAGAGAATAATTTACTCTGAAATAAAGCGATACTTTTTTCTTTAATCTATATACATTAAAAGAAATGGAAATAAAGAAGTAAGAGACGATCAAGAAACTCTTTTGCAATACCAAGGAATCCAAAACATCGCCAGAACTACCATTATCATCACTTATATCTATGAGAGAAATGCCCCATCTCGGATTTTTTATGACAAGTAATTGTGCATTTTGCAAATCTTCTTTTACTTCCAAACTTGTCTGTAACAGACACACACGCACGCGCACACACATATATATATATACATATATATATATATATTATTTATATATATACACAGAACATAATAATTATACTTTATTTTAATTAATTCACCATACCACTTTATTACTCGTGAACATTTGCATGATCTCAGAATCGGTCAGGTAAGGAGTTTCACTGGAATTGTCACATATCATGGACACAGCCTTTTTTGTTAAAATTGGTTGCAGTCGCTTTAACAGTTGTAATACGGAATCTATATTTTCTTTCATTACACAGTTAACTCCAGGTGCTTCTCGGTCATCTCCAGCAAAACATAATGGTATGTTGCTATCTACAAATTGAAATATAAGACTAAAAATAATTATCAAAATTTATAAAATACATATTTCAATTTATATCTTATAATCTTTACATAAAGAGATATGTTCTTATGTTTGTTTTGTTTTTACAAAAAAGGAGAATCCTTTAAAGAAGTTAATTAAATAATAACAACAATAATAATAATAATATATATTTTTTATATAATATATATATGAAAAAAATAGGATAAAATCATTATAATGGGAAAGGAAATAAAATATCAAAATTAATACATCAGTAATACTTATTATTTTATTAGACATGTTAAAAAAAACAATACATATCTTAAGCAGACTATCACAAAACTGATTATACATTTGTTGAATATTAAAGATGGAATTCATATAAGGCAACTAAAATCTACAAGTCACTAAAATTATTTTTAATATTCACTGAATGTTGAATAAATTTTGTAATAATGTAATGAACTCTATTTTAATAAATGTGTATTTATAGATTCTTTCTTTAGAAAATATAATTGCCACATAATACAAATTTATATATCCTATCTTTTAAAACATTAATAGTCATTTTATTCATATACATTACAAAATTTCAATTTTTAATAAAACATTGCAATATATTTATATTATTAACAAGTACGTTTAAAAAGCTTTCCCACAAATTGTTAGTTAAAATATAAAATTTGCATTATATTTCTGTAAATATTTTTTTATATTACTTAATTGTTACAATTCTTAATACCTACCCGTTGAAAGTGATGGAAATGTTTCTGCTTTTCCACCAAGTCCCATATATATAACAGCAAGAATTCCAAAAAATAAAGCAAGTACCACTACTAAGATTACAGACACCATATTGTGATTGTTTCGTACATCTTCCCTATTTGTAGACAATGGTTTAAATATTCTATTTACTGTTTCCCGAGGTCTATCAGTTGATGATGTGTGTCTAGAATTGGAGAAGATTTGTTTATATTATCTTATTGTATATAGTTTTATATAATTTACATATACCTTGAACTGGATGATGGATACAATGATCTTGAGGAAGAAAAATGACCATTTGAATCTTTTTCTTTTAAGTCTGGTAAATTCGTTGTAAAACGTGATGGTGGACCTAAATATTAATACGTAAAATAATAAATTATAAACTAATTAATATATATCCTCTAGGAATTGTATAAATTTAATAAGGCTTACTTTTTAAACTAGACAAGGCTGTAGATGGTAAATTAGTAGATGACCGTGAACTAAGTCTTCTAGTAAATTCTGAGAGAAATGGTGTCTCATAATTGGCTAGAAGATCTCTTTGATTTGCATTGTCTTTTGTACACATATCTTCATTTGGTGAATGTATTGGAGAAATATTTGAATCAAAAAGTGATTCACTATATTTGTTATCTTTTATCGTGTGAATAGATCTTGATTTTGAATCATATGATTTTGGAATTTGTTCTTGATCAGAAATGTTATGATCATAAGTTCTAGACTCATGAAATTTTCCAACATTTGATAAATATTTAGGTGGAGAATATGTTTTAGTTACATCTTCAACAACATCTGAATCTGAACCAGTTTCCAAATCATCAGTTATACTTGATACTTTATTGGTTTTCATGTACTTTTTATGGGTAGTTTTTGTTATTGTACGAGTTGTGAAAGATGAAGAATTATCATAATCTGGTACTATAGGATCCTTGAACTCAGAATGTGTTGTTCTATCTTTAATCGAACTTTTTGATATGTTTACATCAGAAGGTGCTAAAACTGATGTGGGTGGAGGCATTGGATTTGCTAGAGTTTGTCTTCTGGCACTTGCTGTTGCTTTTTTCTTTTTACTAGTTGTTGAACTTGTGTCATCATCTGTATCCTCACTACTATACCTAATATATAAACACAATAACAAATTTTAATGCAATCTTAAAACTCACTATTATAAGCACTATCTTAAATAATATGTAACTATACAAAAATATAAAGAATAAAATCTTACATAGGAAAGTTATTTAATTAAGATAAAGAAAAACAATGCTTAATGACATTTAAGTCTACTAGTATAAAGATTAAGTAAAATGAATATAAAGATATAAAAAACATCAAGAAATTACAAGGATATAATAAATTAAAAGTACCTGGCAGCCAATGAATGTCGTGACCCTGTACCACCTCGAGATTCAATGAGATTTTTTAGTTTTTTTACGAGAATCTTCCTAGTGGTTTGTGTTACCGGACCCACTGGATACCCGTACTCCATTAGTTTACTACGCAATTCTGCATCACTCAGAGCATCCACCGACATTTTGTTTACAGAAAAAAGTGCTCCTCTCAAAAGAACCCGGTAAAAATGTTGCCTCGTGCACGACGTTAGTACCTCTATGAAGCGTAGTTAGAATTTCGCCCAACAACAATCACACAATTAAAAATTTACTTTACCACTAAACTGCACATGTGTCACTTTTCAGAATATCATGAATGTTTAGCATAATACTGCACAACTCAGAAAATAATCTTGATTACAACTAAAAAATGGTGCAATTTTCTAACGGTCGCGGTCGCGCGCATACTCGTTCACTCGATTTCACGCTACTCAACCCTGTCATCCATAGTCATAGAATAAGGTTTATCAAGATAATCTACCCGAATCACAAAATCTATATTATCCTACTATTACATTTTTTATTCAACTTCTTATGTAAAATTGATTCATCGTTAAAACTATCTTCTCTTGTATTTTATTAAGCCATTATTTTCGCAAATGAACTCTCTATTTATAATAATAACAGTTCAAATATTCGAATTAATAAATACAGAAAAATTTTTAGTGAGTTACACATCATTTATTTGTAATTTTTGGAACGGAATTTTGGATTATGTTTGAGCAATGTCAACGCTCATAAGCTAATTATAGAATATACGTGTAATCATAAATTACGCATAGCCGTTATTGTAGAAACAAAAAGAAATAAACAATACTATAAATAAATATATTTTTGATATATGTTTGACGAATGATCCATAGTTATCGATACTTTAAACTTTAAAATTAGATAAACCTTATATTGCGGTTTGAAATGATTGAAGTACTTTTATTGTTATCTTAATTTTTTCTTTGGTTTATTTACATATTAATATAGTACAAAAGCAAAGATTTTCTAGTCTATTTTATAATTATTCTCTCCCCTTCTATATTTGATTAATGTCTGTATTTTTAGTTAAAAGTTTTGTACAAATGTTTTCGATTTTAACTTTAATTACATTCTACAAGATTAATTTGTACAAATCCTTAATATATTTTGTATGGAATTTTGTATTTTTAATCATAAACGTATTTTGAACTTTAAACTTTCTTAAATTTTCCTTTTATTCTTAGTTATAAACACTGTAACTTCAAATCTAATATATCTTAAGGTCCACACTAATTTTATATTTGTTATAGAGATAATAAATCTTTTTTACTATTATGTATTTATTCTGACATATTTATTGATTTTTAAATTATTTATATAAATACTAAAAGAAAAACCATTACTATTATATCATTTAAATTTTTTACAATTATGTTTAGTATCTTAGTAAATATAACCCATTTCTTATTAGAGAATAATCTGGCATATTTTCAATCCGACCAAGAGCTATAACAACTGGGCTTTGATCATAGATATATTTGGTAGAGACTTCCCTTATTTTATCTGCAGTTATTTTCTGCAATGTAAAATTCTTATTTTGTATGGAAAAAGTAAATTACTGAATATAATATGTTCTACCTTGTATTCTACAATTCTGTGTTCAATTGGTTCATAACATCCAGATCTAAAAACATTTTCAACAATATCAAAAAACCGATTTGTGGGATTATTCAAAATTATTAAATCATTTGTAATGCATTGATTAACAGCTCGTAATACTTCTTTCTCTGTTATTGTTGTACATAATTTCATCCATTCCTTTTGTAGCATATGAATCATACTCTATATAAATACAGAAAATGTAACAATTATCAAATGTAATGATATTTTACAATATTTAAAATATACCATAAGACATAATTTGTCACAAACGAAATAACAGCCCCAAATACTAGTAGACTGTGCCCAATTACAAAAGAAGGATTTATACATGTAACATAAATTTGTATTGAATGCAAAATGAGCAATAAATGGTGCATTATGTTGTCCTCCACCTCAAAATAAATATTACAAACATTATATAATACATACTAAATTATTAAATTAACAGGTATAGAATATTAACTTACTATATGTCTTATCCCAAGCACCTATGACTTGTTTAGCTACAGAAAGTGCAATATGATCTTCACGTTGTTTATAACTTGACCCTTCGATTCCTATTGCTACATATCCCAAGTCATTATCATCATCTCTTAATCGTAATTCAGCAGCTATATTGTACACGAAATATTAATATAAAAAACATAATGAAAACTAGTAAAATTTTTAATCTTTTTTACCTGAAAATCGATATTCAAATGATCTTTTACAAGATTGCATTTTGTTAAAAATTGCAAATGACGATTTATAATCCTCAACATTACACCTAAAATGTTGACAAACAATCCTTTGTAATTCTTTTAAACAAATGGATCCAGTGGAGACGATTGTCATGTAACATGTTTGAAATAAACGATTATGAAACTCAATCAAATTTTTTGTAGAGAAATTCCTGAAAATTTAACGTGCATTTTATAAGTAAATATATTTATTATGCATTTTTTTAAATTAAATATTTTCTAATCTTCATATTTACTTTATTATATTAGTATTAGGATATACACTGTTGCCAAGAGCAGTATCCTGATATGCAATACTGGGTAAGTAATCCATAACAACTTTTTCTTTATTTGACTCCATTTGTAAAAGCTCTTGCAAAATTACACATTTTTCTTCTGTAATATCTTTATCATCTAAAATATTAAAGTAATTCATTATTATATACAAATAATTTTGTTAATAGAACAAAATATATTTTTTTTCCATGACTTACATATTATTCCATTCAAAATAACATCAGCAAATAATTGAATGAGTTTGTCTATTTTACATGATAGAACTGTTCCATAAAAAAGAAATATGTCCCGCATAGCAATAGTTACAATTTTTCCACCAATTTCTTCTAACATGGTTTCTAATTGTTGTTGATTATTGCTTTTCGTTTTCTACATTAGGTGTCAATATTTAATAGTAATTTTAAAAAATTTACAATTATTTTATGAAGTAACTAAGTAAAATAATTCATTTTTGTTTACAAACATATTTGTTGTATGTTTTGTTATATTTTGTTATCTTACTCTGAAAAGTAAATGTTCTAAAAATAGAACACTACCACGTTCCTCTGGCATTTCATACATTGCACCAGCTGGAATAAAACATCCTATGGTAGTGGTAAAAGACTCTCTACATTCACATACAAGACGCATACCATTATTCAAATAGCAAAATTCTGTTGAACTTTCTATATTTGAATATGTATTTAAAACTTTAGACATTTTCCTAGAAATGCTTTTGCAATCTTGATATGTTTTGTAATATTTATTTGAAATACAAACAAATCCCTTAAAAGTGACATAGTGTTATTGTTAATATATTCTGCAAATGATTTAAAAAAATTATTGTAACACATACTCTTTTGATATATTTACATTTGCCTTGTATCTGGAATAAATATTTTGAAACTGCTATCATTTTTACTTCAAGTTATCCATGTAGAACATAATTTGAGTTACTTATATTAGATACATATAGAAACTATGATGTTATATGCATAACAATTGAAGATGTACATGTCTTTTCTTTCATTTTTCTTTTAATATATATTAAATAATAAATTAATAATAATTTAATGTATATTAAATTTTTTTTCATATCTTTGTATAGCTTATATATTAAA